TGAAACAGGAAAATGGATAAGGTTGGAGCTTCAGATAGAGAAGTGGAACAGCTGCGAGGGAAGAATGGGGTGGTTGGGAACATGGAACAAGGCATCAGTTGACGTGGCAAAACAAGAGCGGTTGAGCGAGGTTTGTGGATAAGTTGGGTAAGGGGCTGACGAAATGCATTTGGGGAATGTTCGCTAGCTATATGAAATTAGCAATTTTGCGATGGCAAACACTCTTACTTGAGTTTATTGGATTGTCGATTGTTCGATGAACGCGAAATTCATCTGACGCCACAGCCTCTTGCATTTTGGGCCGTTAGATCAGTGTCAAACTGATCAGACTCCACTGAAAAGAACAAATAGAATCGACGGTGTACTGAATTTTAACCGGAAAGTTGGGATGTCAACCGTCCGATCGAGCTTTGTTGCCTTCATCTCCAACTTGGGAGTGCATTCCGTCAGCAATCTGTCCCTACCGAAGTTTGGCTTGTATTGAAATGTGACATTTCTTGTTCAGATTCGAGCCATGGCATGCCCAAGACACTTTTGGAAGGTCTTTGGAATTCATTTGGGCCACTTTTTGGACCGATTTGAAACCTGCATACATATGGGACAGATTCGTGACAGCCACTTTTTGGTGATGTTATTCCAAGGAAAGCACTTAATAGTCATCTCTCTCTCTCTCTCTCTCTCTCTCTCTCTCTCTCTCTCTCTCTCTCTCTCTCTCTCTCTCTCTCTCTCTCTCTCTCTCTCCCTCTCTCTCTCTCTCTCTCTCTCTCTCTCTCTCTCTCTCTCTCTCTCTCTCTCTCTCTCTCTCTCTCTCTCTCTCTCTCTATATATATATATATATATATATATATATATATATATTTATATATATATATAAGCGTTCGGTCTCATTTGACCTTGGTACAGAGTATTTTTACGGCAAAAGGTAGGAAAGCAAAGCATACTGAGTACCTCCAACCTAAAACCAGCATTGGCTAGAGTACGGCTGAACCTGTCGAGGGCCCTATGCCTCCCCCACATCCAGGATCTGGAACAAGTCACCGAGGCTACGTGCCCAAGGGTCCACCAGGGGCTGGGGGAAGGCTGCATGTACGGCCTCTCCAGCCCAGGTGATGAGTGTGCAGTCATTTGAACTGGAAGTGATGAGTGCAAACTATTTTATGGAATTCACAAATTGTATTGTTTAGGCCCTACTCCATTGATTAACCCCCATGCTAGCACCTGGGAATCGATAGATAGCTTGTATTGTTCGTATTTAAGAAAAAAAAATGGTGGTACCCTACACATTTTTTTGGGGTTTGTTTGTTGGTTGTTTGTAATTTTTGGGTCAACAGAAAACATGTGCACATGTTTTCAATCTTTAGGTTCCTTCCATCACAAACATGGCAATGGGTTGCAATTTTAAGCCTATGTTTTTCACCCATGTTCTGGGGAGCAACCTTCATCACAAACATCCGCCAAAAAGAAAGAAATTAAAAAAAAAAACCCTATGTTACGAGACAACAACAACGAATCCTCGTATGTTGTCGTCTCGCATGAGATGCTATGTAATGTTATAGTGTGTTTCTCAATTCACACAAAGTGGTAACCTGGCTTAAACATTCATCTTACCATAATATCTACCATCCAACAACAGTTATGCACATGTACCTGATTCCAGCATACTTCAGTAAGGCAAGAACTCTATGTATTCTAAGACATGAGCAGGGCCTTAGATTGGATTTTTGTTTCAGGGCTACAGTGGTTGGCCTACACGGGTTACTGGGCGCCATCATCAGCGATAGTTATACCGAGTTCACTAGTAATTTATGGTGCACGCGATGGGACCAGTTTGGCACGCCCCTGCAGTTTACGTCGTTGTATCACCTCGAGACTTATTGTCAGACCAAGAGGACAAATCTGACGTTGGAGCAGAAGATCCACATTCACGTACAACAGCGCAACGTCAGCCACAATCCGACAGTCCCCGTTCTTCCTAAATTATCGTCAAGACAGGAGAGCCTGGATGAGACAACTTCGACTGCTGCGACAGCTGCTGCGGCTGCTCCTGCTGCTGGGACGATGGCGGCTGCTCCGGACTAGCTGCGGCAGTCCCCTCAGTAGAACCACTACAGTATCCCCGGCACCACCACCACTACCACCAGCTCCACCACCACGCCCTCCCTGGCAGCCACGACCGGCGCGGCGCGGGCGCTGCTGCAGGTGTACTGCAGCTGCAGTCTCGGTCAGAGGGTTTGCAGTGGCGACCGCAGCCGAAACGTCAGTAAACGTGCACTGGGAGGGGCACAGCTGTGAAAGATAGAGACTGCCGGCGCACCGCTCGACTGAGCGATAGTGCGCTGGCGAGTCTCGATCTCGGTCAGGGCAGTGACAAAGGCTGTCAGGGTGAGATCACCCGGGTGCTGGCTAAGGATGTGGTCGCGTGCACTAGCAAGGCGGTCAGGCAGGCGCATAGCGATAAAGTAGAGGGTCATGCAGAAGGGGGGAGGGAGCGCAGTGAGCTGGGCAGCAGTGCTAGCAGTGCGGTAGCGAGACTCTAGGGCGCGCAGGTGAGTGGCAAGGTCAGCAACAGTAGGGAAGGAAGCAAGGTCTGGGAAAAGCATAGGAAAGAGCAGGCGGCCTGCAGTAGTGGAGGCAGGCGTGGAATAGCGAGCAACAACAGCATCTAAGTAAGCCCTGGCTATATCAACTGTAGCGAAACGCGAACGCTCAGACAAAGGGAGGGCGTGACTGATAGCGACCTGAGCAACTGCGTCGCGAGAGTCCCAGATGGCACAGGCAGGTGCAGAGCAGAGAAAGCCTCACGCTCAGCAGAGGTGGGGTCAGCAGGGAGGGGAGGAGGCACAGGGGGGCGGGGGAGCAAGCCATCAGTATGGACAACCAAGGAGTGCCCATCCTGGCGCTGACCTGTGAGTTGACGGCGGAGATCGGACAGCCAGGCGGCGAAGTCAACCGCGTGGCCCTCTGCGTCCAGGCGGAGTACGAAGTCAGCCATCGTGCATGGTCAGAGACACTGGGATACAGCTCCACAGGACACAATAGTACAGCTCCAGAAGGACGTCTGCAAGACGCTCCAGCGTGGCCGAGCAGAAGACACGGGGCCACAGGGGTCGAGCGGGCACTAGGAGCTGCGGGACGCAGGAGCCGGGCGGGCGTATCGGGGCCGGGCTGGAGCTGGGAGGGGCCGAACGGGAGCGAGGAGGGGCCGGGCAGGCTCTAGGAGGGGCCGGGCAGGCGCTTGGAGGGGCCGGGCGTGCGCAACGGGCCGGGCGGGCGCGGTGGGGCCAGGCGGGCGCTAGGAGCCAGGGTGGCACGGAGGGGCCAGGCGGGCGCGACGGGCCAGGCGGGCGCTAAGGGGCGAGGTGAGCGCAACGGGGCCAGGCGGGTGCGGCGGGGCCAGGCGGGCGCAACGGGGCCAGGAGGGTGCGACGGGCGGGGCGGGCGCGGCGGGCTGGTGCTACGGGCCGGGGGGTGCGACGGGCTGAGCAGGCGCTAAGGGGCGGGCGGGCACTACAGGCCGAGCGGGCGCTAGGGGCCGGGCTGGCTCTACGGGCCGGGCGGGCGCGAAGGCTAGGTAGGTAAGGGGCGAGAAGCTAGGGTGCGGGCGGAAGCGGGTGGGTGGACCTAACCTAGTCGATACCATGTTAGAATGTGAGAATGATTGACTAGTGTGAGAAACCTAGAACATATACCTGTTGGGGTTGTACTCACTAGAAGCACACACCTAGACTAGCCTATAACTTCTACATACAGCATATATATAAGTTGACACCTTCCACCCCGCCCCCAGTCCAGTCAAGCGACGAAGCAGAAAAAACAGTGTGGAAGCAGGGTAGCAGGGACTTAGCCGGAAAAACCAGGCTGCGAGGGGTGTGTGTGGGGGAATGTATCTTGCAGTTAAGGACTTCTCGAGGTTTTTTGGGTTGGTGTGGTGTGTTAATGAATGACTCTGGTGTGGGAGACTTAACCGAAAATTTGTTGTTGCGAGGGGTGTGTGGAGGAATATCTCTTGTGTAGGGCACTTAGCCGGAAAAACTAGGTATTCTAGGGGTGTGGGGGGAATGTATCTGGCAGTCGAGGACTTAGCCAAAAAATCTCGGTTGTGGGGGGGCAGCGGGGAGGGATGGGGGACGAAGAGGAATGTCAGCGTCTCAGACGAAAGTCTACACCCGATTTGAACTTTCAGACGGAATCTTATGGCTTAGCTGGACGATCAGACGAATTAATTTAGACCATAAAAAAATCAGATGAATGGAAAAAAACAGGTCTGATTTTCAGACCATCAGATAGATTTCGTCTGATATCTGAGACCCTGACCCGAACTCCTCGACTCGTCACGTTCGGCCTCATTTGTCGGCCCAACCTTTTCTCGCGTCGCGTCCGGCACTGTCGCCACATTGCCGAACCTACCCACGTTCCGAGGCTATCGCCCTAGCACGCCAACCCCTATATAACCTCGTGCCTTCATTGCAATAGCGACCTTAGATTCTCACGTTATATTTCATTGACACTTCCTAGATCATAACAGGATCCATTCTTGTTACATTCCCTCAAATCTCCACAAGGCCCCACCAACTTGAAAGCTGCTGTTGGCAATTGTCTAGGAATATTCGCCCACAAAAAGATCTGCAAACGTGGAACGGTATTGGTGTTTGGAGGTCCAACTTCCAGAGCCCCACTTCTTTGGGCGAGTCACACATTTTTCTCTAACCAATAAGAGCAGAGCTGTAGTTGACGTGCCAGGTTGGGATTTAGTTCAACCAGTAATGTATTCTCTAAAGCTGCTATTGGTTGATAAAGCTAACAGCTTGGCATGCCCCAATGTTGAAGCACATGGCTGCGGAGGAGCAGACGAACAAAGAACATGTTACCTCTCGGTGTCGCGCGCGTGATAGTTGGCTGGCGGCAGCCATACCGTAACATTTATTTCTTCGTTCTTCAATAGTCCAGCTTCTGCCTGCTTGCCCGCAGCGCGAATCTCGCTAACACTGAGGGCCGCTTCAACGGTCCACATGTTGAGAATAAGGTTCTCCAGAAGATCGGACGGTTCAGAATAAGCATTTATTGGGTCCGTTCGATTTGGAGATTTCCCCTCCAAGCCCATTCCTCTACGTACAAGCACGGGTTTCAAGCACCCGAAGCCTAACATAAAGCGTGTAGAAGACGAAGGCTCAAAGCAGCCTTCTCCATCCCTGCGCTTCGCGATACTGCTTGCTCCTACGCGTGCAGGTGCAGACTGGTTATCACGACGGAAGCAGGTCGCTTAGCTCGCGAAGATACCGTATCGCATAACACAAGTTTCCATGCGTTGAACTCCTATTTTCCCTTTTCCGTCGTTCCTACTTCCGTTTCCGATCGGTCACACCACAGGCTAAGTAATTCTTCACGCAACCTCTACGCGCTTATTCATTCATTTTTTTTGTACCTAGCCCGCTCGAGACCGTCTTCGTGACGCCAAGAACCTCCGCGTATAAGCTTCGTAAGCTTCGACGTCTTAACTCCTGACACCCAGCAAACGATCCACCCAGTTCACTCAAACGCCATCGAATCGCCTCGTTTACTCCAAGGCGGCATCGCGTTTCTCACTCCGCCTCGCCATGTCTCCCATGTTCGTTCGAAGCGCCTCTACCGTCGTCTCTACCTCCAGTCCAGCCACTCGTGTCACGCCACGTGTCCTTTCCCTGGTTGACGCAACTTCCGGAAGGAGCATACCTTCCGCCGTTTTTGCCCAGCCAATCAATCATAGTAGTAGGGGCGCTCCTCGGCCTGTCGTCCGTCCAAGCCGCCGCCGTTTGATCAGGCGGCCTGCCATCAGAATACCCAGCTCCCGCCGGTCGTTTTCCGGAGACATCGGACCGGTTTGCTGCCATGATCACCGTTCCGTTGACGGCGCTACAGCGAGCAGAAATATTGCCACAAGAAGTCCTACCACTGGCGCCACTAGCGGCTCCGAGGTAGCTAAAGCCATGGTGGTGTTTGCTAATAAAGAAGGCACAGGCATTGAAAGCCGAGAAGCGCTGGATATGACGGTCATTCTGACAGAAGCCGCGGCGGCGCCATCCAGTGCCATCACTGATGGGCCGAAATGGCCGTCGGACGGGCCGCAGAGGGTCGCATCGGCGAGCGACTCCGGCTCCAGCTCCGACTCGCCGTCGGAGAGGGAGAAAGTCGCGTCGAGTGACTCCGACTCCGGCTCGCCGCACATCTTCCTCGCCGCGGCCGTCGCAGCCGCCGCAGCGAGCGTCGCTCTCGTCGGCTTCTCCGGGGATGGCGCCGCGATGCCGCCGTCCCCAGGTACCACCGCGCTGACGCTGGCGCCAGCACTCGTCAGCAGCACGCGCCTCCCATCCTTTGCGCCGGACCAACCCGGGGGGCTGATTGGCCTCACCGCACCTCCCCTGGCCGGCTCGCTGCCCGAAGCGGAAAAGACGGCGCTCGAAACTGCGGGGAGCACGGGAACTGCGATGGCTTCAGCTTCCGTGAGAGTGAACAGTACTACTGTTAGCTCTACTGATAGTATCAGTTCGAACAGTAGTAGCCAGGGTACTGTTAGTAACGGAGCGAAGCTCGCACGGAAAGCACTGGCGGAAACTGCGGGTGACGGGGGCGGCCAAGGGGCGCATGATTCCCGGAAGCGTGGGGGTTTCGCGCACCGTCCGGCGGTGAAAGCGCCGGTTCTTTCGACTCGGAGGTTGGGCCAGCAGCGTCGGATGGGCGGGGGTCCTTCTGGCTGGAAGCAGCAGCGCGCCGATGACGCCATTGGGAGGAAGCGTCGCTCCGCCTTCATCGCCGGCGATTCCTCCTCGCAGTCCGCCGCCTCTCACCGCGATTCCCCCCTCGCATCCGCTTCCCCCTCCACATCTGCGCCGATCCCCGCGCCAGCAGCGCAAGCGAACACACCGGCGGTCTCACCGCCAGCAGTCGCGCCTGCAACAGCGTCAGCCGACGTGTCAGCGGCTGCGGCCGTGCCAGGAGCGGCAGCAGCGCGCGCAGCATCGCTCCCCGCATATGGCGTCAACCTCGCCGTCCTACGGGCGTCTCTGGGAGCGGCGTTCAAACTGTGCTCCGTGTGCGGTAAGTGGAGCATCATTCATGGTGGTGTGGCTCTCATCTGGTAAGGCGCCTGCCGCGCATTCACGTAAGCAGCACCGACTGACATGTCCGCCCAACCCGAAACCCTGGGAGCCGTGTTCGAACTGTCCGTGTGCGGTAGTGGAGCATCATGCTGAGAAGATGTGGCCCTGATCTGGTAAGGCGCCTGCCGGACATTCACGAAAGCAGCACCGCTTCCCGCATGTGGGGCTCCTAAGATGTCCATTCAACCCATAGCCCTGAGAGCCACGTTCGCACTATGCTCCACGTGCGGTAAGCTATTCGTAAGGCGCCTTGGAAATAGTCTCTTTAAAAAGACATAAAATATTTAGAGTTTGAAACGTACCTCCTTCCCCAGTCGGGTAGAGCACTCGTGTTTAACGAACGGTATGGGATCAAATCCTCGTCGGTAGCGATTTTTGCTGACCACAGACCGATGGACCGAGGATTGGTAACTGCAGTTAGTGCTACAGGCTCGGTGCCTGGGGGGCGAGGGTGCGCTGACCCACTGTAAGTCCGCCCTTTTGATCGCATTAACAGACCCCAAACAAATCTCACTCTACCCGGCTCTAGCCCTCCCTTTTCCTCGTGCAACCTCCATCGTGTGGCTCACCAAGGCTAACATCCTTCCCTGCAGCCTTCTCGACTACATGCCTCACAACATGCCCACACTATCCCTCTCTACCCCACTCTACTCGACTCCACCCCTCTTTTCCCTCTGCAGGCGCCATCGTGTGGCTCATGAAGGCCAACATTCTCGTGGGATACTGCTACTCAACCACTACAAACCTCACAGGCCCCCACACTACCCCCCTCTACCCCATTCTACCCCTCCCCTCCCCTACTTGCAGCCTTCATCGTGTGGCTCATGAAGGCCAACCTCCTCCCTAAGTCCACGCCCGCCGTGCTCAGCCAGGTGGGGTTCAGGTGGTCCGCCAGGTGGGGTTCAGGTGGTCAGCCAGGTGGGGTTCAGGTGGTCAGCCAGGTGGAGTTCAGGTGGTAAGCCAGGTGGGGTCCAGGTAGAAATGTATGATTCGGCTGCTGAACCAGTTGGGGTTGAGGTGTTCAGGGCGCGTCATTTTAGTGCAAGTGGGCATCGATTCAAGCTCGATCACCAGATGTACACCCGTACATTCCACGCCGCCTCGCACAGTGACGAAAACAGTTACTATTTTCGCCCAACTAACAATGTTTTTCTGTGAAAATTCGCCTTGTCAATGAATTGTGTAACTCTACTTGGGCATCAGTCTCAGACCGATGCTAGATCGATGCCTGCATCGGTCATTCTGCCGATGCCCACAAAAACACGACAAAAATGACGCGCCCTCAGTTGTTGGTGTGTCCCGCATGCCTATGCGTCCCTCGTGCTCATGTGGTCCTCCCCACCCCCCACCCCCAAGGTGGCCTTTCGTTGCATGACCCCTGCCACCCTCTGTGCACATGGAACCTCGTTTCACTCATGTGCCTTCTTTGTCCCTGTGCTCGTGTCCGATGTCCTCCCATCCACCCCCAGGTGGCCTTTCGGCTCATGATCCCCGCCTTCCTCATGACCAAGGTCGCTGCCACCCTCTCCGTGCAGCCCCTTGCCTCCCTCGCCGGCCTGCCCCTCATCGCCATCCTGCAGGTGTGCACTGTGCTCTGTAGGTGCATGCATGGTGCGACCAGGTGTGCAACCAGGTACGCTGCTGCAGCAGTGCAGTGCACCAAGGTCGCTGCCACTCTATCCGTGCCGCCCCTCGCATCGCTCACTGGCCTGCCCCTCGCATTGCTCACTTTCCTGCCCCTCATCACTACCCTGCAGGTTTGACCAGGCACGCATACACCATTCGACCCTTTCACGTGCATGCCCACCACATCTATGCCGGACTCCACCGTACTCAACTCACTCCTCGCTTCATGCATATCCCCTCATGTAATCCCTTCTGCCCGTACCTCTCCCTGTGCTCCTAACCTACGCCTTCCAGATCATCTGCGGCGCTATTCTTGGGAAATTCACCAGGCAGTCACCTACAGCCGGCCCTGTTCCTCCTCCCCATCACTCCCCACTTCTCTTTCCCACTCTTCCCCCCTCTACCCCTACCCGCTCCCCAGATCATCTGTGGAGCAATCCTCGGGAAACTTGCCTGCGCTGTCACCTACGACTGTCCCTCCTCCCTTCCCATCCTCGCCTCCCCCACTGGCTCTCTGCAAGATACTGCTATGACAGGGTGGGAAACTTTGTCCTCATCTGGGGCGGTTAGGGCGGCAGAGAGGATGGGAGAGAGGAGTGAGGAGGTGGGGGAGAGGAGGGAGGCGGTGCTGATGGCGGCGTGTGCGTTTGGCAACTCCATAGCGCTCCCTCTAGTGTTCCTCACTGCACTGCTCACTGACGCGGATGCCGACAGGGCTGCTGGTTACTTGGCGCTGTTCATGGTCGGGTAAGTACGCTCTTCAGTTCGTTCCCCTTTCCTCCCTTTCACACAAGCCAACCTTGCTAACGAGCAAGTCTACCGCCCCCCTTTCCAACCACCTCTCAAGCAGTCATTTCTCTCTCTCTCCCGTTTCCTCCCGGTTACCCTGCCCTCTGGACGTCCAGATATAGTCGCCTCACAGAGGAGGGGAAGAGTTCGCCTGAAGGCAATTGTTGAGGCGCCTCAAAATGCCTCAACCCCCTGCAACCGCCCTGCATCTCTCCACCCCTTCCATGCATCTTCCCTCTTCCAGCTGGTCGCCCACCTTCTGGACGTACGGCTACAACCTCTTCACAGGGGGGGACGCCGCGCAAGGGGAGGGGCAAGCGGGGGGCAGCACGGCAGCAGCACAAGGTGGCAGCGCAGTGGGTGTGACTGTAACGGGGTTCAACCGCGCTGTGGATTCTGCCAAGGAGGTGGCAAAGAATATCTTCAACCCGCCTATTTACGGGGTGAGTTACTGTGCTGGGTAGTGGGTGGGTGTTAGGGGACAGGACTCGGCACTTGGTGTTGGGGGGCTGGACTGGGCACTGGGTGTGAGGGGGCTGGGCGGGGCTGTGGATTCTGCCAAGGAGGTGGCGATGAAGATCTTCAACCCGCCTATTTATGGGGTGAGCCTCTTTGACGTCTCTTCCATTTCTGAGATCAAGGTGTTGGAAAACTGACATCCAACAAAATCCCCTCCACCCCAACTCTCTCCTTCCACCCTCTTTCCTCTCGCTTGGTAGGTCTTAGCCGGTCTTGTGGTGGGCGCCACACCTATGGGGCACTTCTTCCTTCCCGTCCCCTCCACTGCGTCAGCCTCAGCAGCAACCGTTGCAGTAGACGCAGCAGCATCAGCAGCCGAAGCAGCAGCAGCAGTAATAGTGTCACCAGCAATAGGCCCCGTTTCTTCTCTTGCTGCATCTGGCTCAGTAGCAGCAGCAGCATCGGCAGCAACAGTATCAGCAGACGCGGCTCTCCTCACCAACCTAGACGCCCCTCCTCCTCTCTCCCTCCTCTCGCCTCTCACCACCGACCTCTCAGCGTTTCTCTTCAGTCCCGGCACTGCTGGCGTTCTGCACCCTGTCATGGAGGTGAGCAGACCTTGTAGCAGCGATGGAGTGAGCAGCACCCAGTGAAGGACTGAGCACCCAGTGAGGGAGTGAGCACCCAGTGAGGGACTGAGCACCCAGTGAGGGACTGAGCACCCAGTGAGGGAGTGAGCACCCTGTGAGGGAGTGGGCACCCAGTGAGGGAGTGGGCACCCAGTGAGGGAGTGGGCACCCAGTGAGGGAGTGGGCACGCAGTGAGGGAGTGGGCACCCAGTGAGGGAGAGGGCACCCTGTGAGGGAGTGGGCACCCTGTGAGGGAGAGGGCACCCTGTGAGGGAGTGGGCACCCTGTGAGCACCCTTTCCTTCCTCTAACCTCCAATGTCCACCCCCTTCCCACTCCCCCCTCTAACCCCCCCTGTCCTTCCCCCCCCCCACACGTCCGCCCTTCTCCCCTCCCAGGCAGCAGGCACAGTCAGGTGGGCCAGTGTGGGCGAGCAAGCAGTGGTGGTGCAATCAGGTGCCGCAGGCCCTCTTCCCCTCTCACGTGCATCCCTATTTCCCGCTCCCCTCTCTCTAATCCTTATCCCTTAACTCCCTCCCAGGCAGCAGCCATAGTCGAGTCTGCCTGTGTGGCCATGCAAGCACTGCCGCAGGCCCACTCCTCCCCTCCAACTTCCCCTGTCTCTCCCCTCTCTGCTCATGCTCATCCACCCTCTGCTCCCTCCCAGGCGGCAGCCATAGTGGGGTCGGCCTGTGTGGCCGTGCAAGCAGTGGTTCTCGCCTCCTCCCTCGCCTCGGCCATCCCCTCCCGCATACCCCTCCCCTCGCTCCGCTGGCCCATAGCCTTCCCATCAACCTCCTCTCTTCCCGCCATCAATACAAGCATGTCTTCTTCTGGCAGCATGAGCAGAACTAGCCAACCGCTTTCCTCCGCGTGCTCCTCCACTTCTCCCGCCTCTGCTGCAGCAGCAGCTGCTGTGTCGTCCGCCTTGGGTCACCTGCTGCTTGCACCAAGAGACTGTGCCCAGCAAGTCACTGGCCTGATCCCTGTCCCTGTGCAAGGTGCGTTGAACCTAATGGACTGCTCTCCCCTTCCTTTGGTTCACTCTCTCCTCTTCTCCCTCCGTCCCTCCTTCTTTCCCTCCCTTGTGTTTTGAGAAGGCTCAGAAACCCATGTTTCCCTTCCTTCCTCCTTCCCCCTTCCCCCAAACCCGACCCCACCCTTCTCCCCACACCCCCCTTTCTCCCTCTCAAGCGGACCGTTTATTGCTTGGAATCCTGGGTACAGGCTAGGCAGGCAGGAGGCAACCAGTCAAGGTTGTTATCTCCCTCAGCTCCTTGCCTCACCCCCCTTTCTCTCCCTCCTCCCCACCTCCCCCCCTCTCTCCCTGCAGCCGCAACCCCCTCCTCGCTTGCCCTTCTCAGCTCCTACCAATTGCCACCCCTTTCTGGCATCGGCTCGAGACAAACCAGAGGGGAGCCACCTATTGCTGCGCAGGCAACAGCAGCAACAGCAGCAGCGATGGCAGTGACAGAAATAGGAGCTGCAGCATCACCGATGGAGATTGCAGCAACAGGAGCAACGGCAGGAGTGGTGTTCCAAAACCCTGGTACCAGCAGCAGCAGCAGCAGCTGGGGCGGTGGTGGTGGTGGCGGCAGCAGCGCTGCTGAAGGGGTAGGGAGAAGCTCTTTGCCTGTAGCAATCCCTGCTGAGCCTGCACTGTTGGATGGCAAGGCGCTGTGGATGGTGTCCACTGTGCGGCTGGTGCTGATGCCAGGGATGGCCATGATGGGAGTGATGGTAAGTCGGTTAGTGAGTGGTGAGTCAATAAGAGTCAGTCCAGCTTGTTGGATGGCAAGGTGCTGTGGATGGTGTCCGCTGTGCGGTTGGTGCTGATGCCGGACGGGAGTGGCCATGGTGGGATTGATGGCGAGTCAGCAGAAGGTGATGCTGCTGAGCCAGTGGTGTGGTGAGTCAACTAGAATGGGAATCGGCAGAGTCGATGGGAGCCACCTGTAGTCGGCTGGAGCCCATGATTGCCATGATGGCAAGCCATGCTCTCTTTCCCAAACTCACTGCATTCCACTTCGCTTGAGGTTCTCTGGTGCCTCTCCTCTCTCTCTCCCAAGTCTTGTTTATAAAGCCACTACAAGGCCCCATTTCACCCTCCCTCTACCACCACCGCCCATCCCCTCACCCCACCCGTTGTGCCACAGGGACTATACAACGCCAATTTCATTCCACAAGACCCCGTCTGCGCGCTCATGCTCATGGTCAGTCCCGCTCACAACATCCCTCTCGGTACAATTTAATTCCCCAAGATCCCTCTCGGTGCTTTTAAGGCCTCTCATTAAATCCTGTCTGCGCACTTATGCTCATGCGTCGCTCTATGCGTGTCTGCTAGAGACGTCACCATGTACCTGCCAGGCTGCCAGCTCATGGTTGCTTCGTCCTGCTCACTTCTTTCCTCCACGTTTTGCTCCGTCCTATGCTTTCCTTTCACACGCCTCGTTGTGGTGCACGGCGTTTTCTCTTCCCCATTCTCTTCTGCAAAGGAATGCTTCCCTCTCTTGTCCAGGTCCAGGCGGCCGTGCCATCAGGCAGCGCAGGATCTTGTTGCCATGCTCGACGTGCTCATGATGCAGCTAGGCCAGCCAGAAAGCCAATGGCACTTGCCATTGTAGTCCTCATTCTCTCACCTGCTCTCTTTCGTCTCCTCTCCTCTCTCCTCCCTTCACTCAGATCCAAGCCGCCATGCCATCAGCACAGAACCTGGTGCTGATGGCACAGCTGAGCCCCGCCACAAGGCCACTGGCAGGGGTGCTGGCATCCATGATGCTGCGACAGGTGGGTGCCGGCCTGTGGCCGTGTGTGTACCTTCGTGTTCATGTGTGTATGTGTGTATGTAAGTGTGCACTTTCTTCCATCATCTCTCTCCATAGAGTGCACTCTCCCCTCCTCCCCCTCTTTCATGATTCCGATCACTATGTGGATCACAAAACCGTTCCTCTCCGCACCCTGCATCATCCTCCATCTTTCCATCCTTCCACCCTTCCATCCTTATCCCTTGTCCCCCCAGTATGAGGCATCCATGGTTCCAAAGATGGTGTGGATCACAAGCACAATCCTTTCTCCCTCTGCATGGCCCCGCATCTTCCCATCCCCATCTCTCCTCCGCAGCATACCATATCCATGGTCCCTATCACGGTGGATCATAATTTCATTCCTAATACTGTATGACCTCCTTTCCATCCATCCCTCCCCGTCCCTATCCCCATTCCCATTCCCATTCCCATTCCCATTCCCATCCCCTGTCCCCCCCAGTACGCCTTATCCATGGTCCCTATCACTGTGTGGATTACCGTCTTCCTCTCCCAGCTCGACATCTCACTCCGGTGACACTTAGGGTTCGCAACATCTCTCTTTGGTGACACTCATTGCCTGCAGCGACAATAAAGGGAGCAGAAGAGAATAAACCTCCAACGAAATCTTAAAAGGCTGCCACCAGGAGGAAGAAGTGGTAACTTTCAGAGAGAGTATAGCTTAGGTGTAACCCTGTACCCAGGTGTATATAGTGAAGTTTCGAGGCTTTACGTAACTGTTACGGCAGCAGCAAGGGGATCCCTGTAAAGTTGAAACCGCCCATTTTAGGGCGTATTTCTACGAAGTAGGCTCTAAACCAAAGTAGGATCTAACCAAAGCTGATCCTGTGTAGATCCTGCTGTTTTATCATGTAAGGAATTCACAATACTTGACTGAGACACACAACAGGGTTTCTTTTCGTATTTTGGTGAAAAAAGGGGGGTGGGTCGAGTAAGGAAACTTGTGAATAAATCACCTGGGCCGGGACCTATCTTGTATTTTAAGGGATTCAATTTCCGAAAGCGTGTTCCTGCTTCAAATTCGAAATGCATTCTTTCTGTCGAGGATGTCGATCTATCACGGCTCTGCAACCACGAATTCGTTCGAGGATTGTCTCTAGCGGGTGCCAAGATCTGTTCAAGTGAAGTAACAGAAATTTGGGCCGTTCGATCGTCGACGAGAGTGAATCGTATGTTGAGACTTTGGGGGGTTTGAATACAGTGCGTGTGGAAGACTACGCTAAAATGGGTAGGAATGTCTAGCTCGCCGATATTTTCGGGTTGAGGGGGGTTCGTGGAGGATTGTCTCTAGGATTTATGACTTCACCGAAAATTTAGAGTAGCGGGGGGGGGGGGGGGGGGGGGGGGGGGCGGGGGGGTTGGGTTTTGTTCGAGGATTGTCTCTAGCACTAAGAACTTAGCCAAAACAGAGTAGCGTGGGGCTGCTTGGAGGATTGACTCTAGCATCAAGGACTTCGACGAAATTTGTTTTGGCGGAAAAAAACAAAGCATGCGCCTGTAGGGCACGTGCATTCGCAAGATTTGATGAATCAGTATTATCTCCAAAAGCATACTGACACCTCAGGGCTGGTACACGAACACTATACTGAAACTTTAGGGTTGCACTATGATTCAAAACTGAATTCACAGGGTGGAAAATTAACTTCAACGGATTTTTCAGGATTGGCACCTAACAAGCATCCTGAAAATCAGGAATTCAGGATAAAACATCCTGAAATCTGAGGCCCTGCTTCTGATTCTCTGAAAATCAGAGTCGTTTTTGAAAACCACTCTCATGGTCCTGGGTAAAGTTTTGAAAGTACAAGTTTTCTTCGATTTATCAGAGTTGGCCTATGTACCAACCAACCTGAGGAGTTTTCAAGGGGGGGGATGCTTAAAGATTTTTCCCTGTATTCGGCGAAGTCCTCCGACTGCCAGTCACACCCCTCCCAAACCCCACGCAACCTGGATAATTTTGGCTAAGTCCTCCGCAACCGGCCACATCCCGCCTCATACCCCCCGTAACCTGGAAAAATTCGGCAAAGTCTGTCAGAATAATGGAATGGCTAGGAATGTAGGGTAGCCATGAAATGGCGTGAGGGTTTAGGAGCTAGTAGAACTAGGAGAGGAAAGTTTGACGAGAGAGGGATACAAGGAGGGGATTGTACCCTCTACAGTATAGTTCGGTAACCTACCAAGCCTAACAATTATATAACACAATATATAATTTATTACACCCCCTAGGCTTGGTAGTCACAAGCCCACACACACCCACACCCCCTAACCTAGCACCCCCATTCCAAGCATCAGCCACGTCTACTCCGGTGGGGCCAGCCCCCACGGCCTGTGAGATGGCAATGGTGGCAACCACGACAGTGACGAGAGCGGCGGCGGCAACGGCGTGCGGCGGCAACGGCCTACTGCAACGGCGGCGGCGGCTTCAACGTCAGAGGTGACTGCATCGGCCCCTGCCCTCTCTGGGGCACGTCCAAACTCGACGGCGATGGGGTCCCCCACGTGCCAGGCGTAGGCTGTGGCGAGGAGGAGGGGGCGCAGGGGAAGGAGGGCAGCTGGCGTGCGGGCGGCGGCGGCGTCACAGGCGTCGCGCGGTCGGCTGCAGCCCGACGGTGCCGTCACCGAGCGGCGTCAATGCCGCAGCGGGATGTCGACGCTGCGACGGCAGCCCGACAGCGCCGTCATGCCGCCAGCTGGATGTCGACGGCGCCGTCACGGCTGCGTGCTGCGACGGCCACACCAAGAAGTAGCCGCAGCATCTCGGAGAAGCTGGCACGGTGGAAAGAAATTGGAAGGCCGCGACGGCGGCGAACGAAGAACGGGTACGTGGCGGAAGCGTGGGGAGCAGGCCCAGGAGAAACGACCCGCTCTAATACCATGTTAGAATGATGGAATGGCTAGGAACGTAGGGCAGCCATGAAATGGCGTGAGGGTTTAGGAGCTAGGAGAACCAGGAGAGGAAAGTTTGACGAGAGAAAAAGGGTGGATTAGAAAGAGAGGGATACAAGGAGGGGATTGTACCCTCTACAGTACAGTTCGGTAACCTACCAAGCCTAACAATTATACAACACAATATATAATTTAACAAAGTCATGTGTAACCAGTCACAAAACACTAATACCCCATGCAACCCAGGCACATTCCTCCTTCCCACACCCAACCCAACCTAGCCCAGCTGTGATCAGTGCTGTTTGACTAGGCCTTACCGTCAATCACGCTAGTTTTCACGTGTGTAACTTGACGCGGGATTGACACGTAAACATCGAAGCTGTCGCAACACAGCAAGCTGTCGCAAATTTGAGTTCGAGCTCCAGGGCACCCTGAAAATGAGAGTTTGGCCAGGATCTTAGAACTGAATAATGAACGAACTAGAGAACCTCGGTACAAGGATATATATCTAAGGGTTCTACTCTCTAAAAGGTGACCCTATACAGTCTATACAAACATTAGAGATACAAATGTTTGACACACCCCCTAGACTGCATAGGGGCAGTTCCTGAACAAGCAGCTCAGGGCGGCACTACTAGTCCAACCACTGAGACAAGGGTCTAAAGACCAGTCAAAAGGAGTATAGGCAAGGCAAGAACAAGACTAGGGCGGCACTACTATTCCAGCCACTGGGAGAGGACTCAAGTCCAGTCTGAGTAAACATATATAAAGGACAGGACAAAGTCAAGGCCCTAGCAAGTGAGAGGCAACAGGAACTAGACCGAGCTGTAGACAGTGCCGCTGATGATCTTTAGGCGCAAGCGCCTTTGTAAAGACATCAGCTGTGTTGGCACTTGAGACTAAGTGTACTACGCGAGCCTGGCGGCGCTGCTGTAGCTCGCGCAGGAGGAAGTACCGCAGCTGGATATGCTTCGCTCTGCCCTCGAGTCGAAGCTCCTGAAACAGGAGGATCATGGCCCTGTTGTCAGCGTACAGGACTAGTGCAGAGCTAGGCCGCTCACCTAAGTTAGTGAGCAAGAAGGTCAGCCAGTGGAGCTCCTGTGCCGCCATGACACCGGCGTAGATCTCGGCCTCACAGCTGGATTGGGCAACAGACGAGGAGAGGGTAGCTCTCCACGAGACCGCACTTGAACCAAGGCTGAAGCAGTAGCCCTGAGAGGACCTGAGGGTCTCGGCGTCATCTGCCCAAGAAGCGTCTGTGTCTCCAGCGTCCTCCTATCACTAACCCCATGCCCGATGTACTTGCAAGATAACGCAAAACCCTCTTAGCGGCAGACCAGTGCTGAGGTCGGTGTCTGCCTGTAGCCACAAAGCGAGCCAGGATGCTGAGAGGGTATGCGAGATCTGGGCGAGTGCAAGGCATCAGGTACATGAGGCAACCCACCAGCTCTGCGTAAGGACCACTGGGCTCCACTGTCTCCTCAGGAACTGGAGCGGAGAGCCTGTGGTCTACATGCAGAGGGGTGGGCTGTGCGGAGGAGAACTGAAGGCTGAACCTCTGAAGGACCTGGCGCACCAAGTGTGACTGAGTCAAAGTAATGGTGCGCGCTGCTCTATCCCTGGAGATCTGCAAACCAAGGTAACGGTGCAGTTCTTCAAGGTCAGTGCAAGTGTGTCTCTTCAGCAGCTCTGCCTTCACCGAGGCCAGTGCGTCCCTTTCTGCTGTGGCAAAGACCAGATCATCCACGTAAACAAGGATGTAGAACGGAGTCTGGCCAGCAAGAACGAAGAGTGAGGGGTCTGCGGAGGACAAAAAGAACTGCAGGTCAGCAAGGGTAGCACGCAGCGTGTCGTGCCACTCACGGGGAGCCTGCCGCAGGTCGTAGACAGGACGCCGCAGGAGCCACTGGGTCCCAGGAGGGAAGGTACCAGTGAGACCTTGAGGGCGACGCAGATAGACCTGCTCGTGTAGGCTGCCCTGAAGAAACGCAGTGGAGAAGTCGATGGAGTGAAGCTCGTATTCACGTTGAGCAGCTACGTGTAGCAGCACCCGAAGAGTAGTCATCTTCGGGGTCGGAGCGAAAGTCTGAAAGAAGTCCACCCCCTCACGCTGACTGAAGCCTCTAGCCACGTAGCGCGCCTTGAACACAGGCGGCTCTCCAGGAGGGCGCTTCACCTTGAAGAGCCAGCAGCCGTCGGCTACGTTCACCCCAGGTGGGGGAACTGCATCGACGAAGGTACGAGTGGATCTCCAAGATGCCATCTCCTGCTCCATGGCAACTATCCACTGAGAGGCCCAAGGTCCCAAGGTCGCCTCAGCGTAAGTGCGAGGGGTCGGGATGTCGAAAGCGTCAGGGTCACCCTCAGGGACTAGTAGCATGGAACAGAGATGGGGAGCAGCCTCGGACAAGAAAGCAAGCTCAAACTGGCGGTCCTCCAGGACGTCACTACCGAGGGTAGGAGCACCCCCGACAGATGGAGGACAGGCAGGGTCAGAGACTAGAGCGGTGGCGTAGTCAAGGTGGCGGGTAGAGGCGAAGTCAGCAACCGCAGCGACAAGCGCGTCAAGACACGAGACCGGAACGGACGGGTCGGTAACGAGAGAGGCGAGGACCCGAGGAACAAGAGGACGAGCGGCAGGAAGGTAGTTAGACAGAGGTGGAGCCGCAATGGTAAGAGAGGACGGAGGAGGCGACGGTAGAAGGGGAGGATGAGACGCGTGGGAACGGAGCAACATAGGGTGAGAGCGCGTGACAGGGGAGACAGGACGAGCGCGGGAGGGCCAGCTGGACCAGACATAAAAACGGAGGCGTCGAATTAGGAGACAGAGGAGGGGACACAAGGGGGCAGCGAGGGGGAAGACGAGTCGGGGACGAGTCCGGCGGAGGGAACACATGGCCGTAGACAGGAAGAGGAGGAGACGGCACGAGAGGAACAAACGCAGGGTCAGGGGACGGAAGGCCGAGCACGCGAACGGCTGACACCGTCGGGGACTGCTGCCGCGGCGGCACAACACTGACACCGGAACCGCAAGCTACTCCTCGGCTACCTCCGGGACACTCCACTCCACCACCCCCATAAGGAACACCCCCAGAGCCCGAAACCCCTCGAGCACTGGTACCATCCCGAGGGCCACCGGGACAGGCCACGACAGGAACCCCAGGACTAGCACCCACCCCAACGCGAGCACCCTCAGAGTCGACGAACTGCTGCTGCGACGGCGGCGGCGGCAATGACTGGTGCGTCAGTGGCGGCGGCGGAGACGACGGCTGCGAGAGCAGAGGCGATGGCGGCTGCAGAGGCTGTGGAGGAGGAGACACCTGGGGAGGGGCAGACGGCAAGGACTGCGCCGCAGGACCACCAGAGTCAGAAGACTTCTCGACCGGGACAACCGACGGGAGAGGGGTGACGTGGGACACACCAGAGGGGGCAGGACGGGGAGGGGGAGGGGGGGGGGCAAGGACCACCGGGGAAGGAGTGACCAGGAATAGGGGGGGGTAACAGGGGGACCGCGGTGGGGGAAGCGACGGTAGAAGGAGACGGACTCGTCAAAGGTGACGTCGCGAGAGTGAAAGAAACGGTGAGACGGTGGATGGTAGAAGTGCCAGTCGGACGTGTCAAGGGGGAAACCGAGGAAGACACAGGGAAGGGTGCGGGCAGTGAGCTTGTCCGTGCCAGAGGCACGAACGTGAGCAAGGCAGCCCCAGACGTGGAACGAAGACGCGTCACCACGAGACCCAGTCCAAAGAAGGGTCGGCGAAACCTGCGGCTGTTGGGGGTGCGGCCACAGGTTAAGCCGGTGAGCAGCGTAGCGCACGGCGAACGGCCACCGGAAACGGGGTGCACCGGCATGGATCATGGAGGTGCGAGCCACCTCCATGATAAAACCGATGCGTCGCTCAGCGACCCCATTCTGCTGTGGGGAGTCCGGCAAGGTGAACGTCTGGGTGATGCCCTCCGCACGACAGAAGCGACCAAGGACACTTGAGGCAAACTCGCCACCACGGTCTGAGTGAAAACGCACGACAGGGAGACCTCGGTGGACACGCGCATAGACAAGCCAGGGGATGAGAGCGTCAGGCACGTCGGCCTTTCGCTCTAGGGGAAAGATTGTGGTGTAGCGAGTGAAGTCGTCAACAAGCAGGAGGAAGTAGCGCTCTCGACGCGGCCCATGGACGGGGGCGGGGCCCCAGACGTCCATGTGCAGGGTCTGCAGCGGGCGGCGGTAGGGGGAAACGAGGAGGAGTGAGGGGCACGGCGAAGCCGACCCTCGACACAAGGCATGCACAGTGGGGCGGGGGAGGAGGGAAAAGTGGGAAACGAACCGGGGAGACCAAGGACGAGACCGTGCTGAGACATGTGACGCAGACGAGGGAGCGCAGGGTGACCTAGGCAATGGTGCCACAGGAGAGTCGGGTGAGTGAGGGACCGACAGGAGCAGGCAGCAGCAACCTGGGAAGACGCAGCCACCTGAGGGGGCCCCCTAGCCGGGGGGGTCATGGTGTCCAGGGTGAACAGGCCGGACACCGGGTCCCGGGGGAACGTGGAAAGGGGGCACCAGTGGCGGCCTCGGTACAGACAGCATACCGCTCGTGACCAGGGAACGTAGTGGTGACGCCAAGGTCCTGGAGGCAGCCAACACCAACTAGGTTCTTGGAGAACGAGGGGATATGGAGACCTGTAAGAGAGCCCGAAGGAACCGCCGGACAGGGAAGGGTGGTGGAACTGCGGGCGACTACTGGACTGCCGGAGGGGCCAGCAAGAGAAATTGCAGCAGGAACAGGAAGCGGCGTCAGCGTAGTGGAGTCGCGGAAGAAACACCGGGAAGCGCCAGAGTCCAAGGTGAAGGAAAGCGCAGTAGTGGCGTCTTGCGACGGGGCAACGGCGGAAGCACCAAGGCTAAACAAAGCAGGAGCTCCTACGCCTGACGCAGCAGGGGAGGATAAGCTAGGCACACCTACACTAGGTCACAAGGAGTAATAAGAGGGTAGCATACTAGAGTCATCAACATACATCACATGCAGGGCAGCAACAATAGCATCCATGTCCATGTCAAAAATATGAACTCGACGACTAAGCAAACTGTGCCAGTCCGGGAGGTTGGGCGACGGGCCGAAGCGCTGACGAAACAGGTCGTCCAAGCGACGAAAACAGCGGGCAGTGGTGTGACCGATCTTACCGCAAACAAAGCCGTGGCGAGGACCGGTCTGGAGCTAGTACTGACAGCGCACGCCTCCCGAACCGCCACCCGGTACTCCACCACGCGAACGACCACCACCAGCGCCAGGCCACCCGGGCGGGAGGCCACTCGCCGGCCTCGGCTGCTGCGGTTGCTGTGGCTGCTGCTCAGCTGAACCCGGCAGGGTCCCCTCGTCCGCTCCACCACCAGGTGACCCGACTCCACCACCACCTCCACCTGCACCCCCACCCCCTCCGCCGCGCCCAGACTTGGGGCGGCGACCCTTCCCCGGACGGAACTGCGCTGCAGCGGCGGTCTCAGCCACAGCTGCAGAACCATCGGAGAAGGTGCACTGAGCGGGGGCACAACCCTGAAAGATAGGGACCGGCACAGTACCGCTTGCTTGGGCGATAGAGCGGTGGCGGTTCTCGATAACAGTCAGGGTGTCTACAAAGTCTGTGAGGGTGAGGTCACCGGAGTGAATGCTAAGGAAGCGGTCACGAGCAGCGGCAAGGCGGTCAGGGAGGCGGGTGGCAAGCAGGTAGAGGGTAGAGGTAAGGGGCGGCTGATGGGCTCTAAGCTGTGCGTCAGTGCAGGCAGCGCGCTAGGTCTCATCTATCATGCGGAGGTGGGCAGCTAGGTCAGGGAATTGGAGAGGGAGGATCAGGCGACCCACCGAGGCAGCAGGCGGGGTGGAATAGCGCTGGATAACAGCATCTAAGAAAGCCTGGGCGGTGGTGATAGACCGAAGCGAGGGCGCTCAGACAGGGGGAGGGCATTGGTAATGGCAAGCTGTGCGACAGCATCACGAGAAAGCCAGACAGAGCGAGCAAGGGCAGCGGCCGCAGTAGACTCGTGCGCAGCAGGTGTGGGGTCAGCTGGCAGCACAGCAGGGGGGTCTGGGCAGGGAAGCGTATCGTCAAGGTGTACCGAAAGCGAGTGGCCATCCTGCCGCTGGCCAGTGAGGTGGCGGCGGAGGTCGGCTAGCCAGGCCTCGAACTCCAGAGGCTGGCCTTCAGCGTCGAAGGCAAGCTCCCCCGCCATCAGGAACAGTGCAGGGCGGCGCCAGGCGAGGCAGTGGAGTGCAGGACAGCGCAGTGCGCAGTGCAGGACAGTGCGGGGGGGCAGTGCGGTACAATGCGGTACATTGCGATGCAGTGCAGGGTAGCGTGGTGCAGTGCGGTGCAGGGGGATGCAGAACCGTACCAGGGAGGGTGCAGGGCTGTAACGGGCACAAAGAGCGGGCCGCACACAGATCGGTGGCAGGCCGGCGGGAAGGTGAGCACGAGGCCGGAGGTCGACGTGCAGGGCGCGCGCAGGGGTTGGCAGGACGGGCGCGGGGGCCTGTAGGGCGGGCGCGGGGCCGACTAGGACGGGCGCAGGGGCCAGGAAGGACGGGCGCGGGGTCAGCTAGGACGGGCGCGGGGTCAGCTAGGACGGGCCTAGGGCGGGCGCTGGGGCCGGCTAGGACGGGCGCGGGGGCCGGTAGGACGGTCGCAGGGGCCAGCTAGGACGGGCGCGGGGGCCGGTAGGACGAGCACGGGGGCCTGTAGGACGGGCGCGGGGGCCTGCTAGGAAGGGCGCGGGGCCGGCTAGGACGGGCGCGGCGGCCGTTAGGACGGGCGCGGGGGCCGTTAGGACGGGGGCGGGGGCCAGCTAGGACGGGCGCGGGGCCGGCTAGGACGGGCGCGGGGGCCGTTAGGACAGGCGCGGGGGCCGGTAGGACGGGCGCGGGGGCCAGCTAGGACGGGCTCGGGGCCGAGAGGACGGGCGCGGGGGCCGGGACGGGCGCGGGGCCGAGAGGACGGGCGCGGGGGCTGGCTAGGACGGGCACGGGGGCCAGTAGGACGGGCGCGCGGGCGCAGCTAGGACGGGCGCGCGGGCGCGGCTAGGACGGGCGGCTGGTATGGGCGGCTAGGGCGCGGCTAGGGCGGTCGACTAGGACGGGCGCGGGGGCGGCTAGGTCCTAGAGCGGAAGCGTGGGCGGGCGGCGGGACCTACCTACTGCTGATACCATCTTAGAACTGAATAATGAATGAACTAGAGAACCTGGGTACAAGGATATATATCTAAGGGTTGTACTCTCTAAGAGGTGACCCTATACAGTCTATACAAACATTAGAGATACAAATGTTTGACACAGGAGTCACTCGTGAAAATCAGAGTGGTGAAAAACCAAATATAAGCCCTGTTTTGGACATGACTAACTAGACCCTTGTACACGGCTAAGGCCACACATATCTGCATGCACGCACGCACACAACGCTGAGGCCAAGCCACTCTGTAATGAAATACCGTACTAGCACCATAAGCTGTTAGGTTCCTTCAAGCCTTGGCCGCTTCAAGCCTTTGTTTTCCTCTTGGTGGTTGCCGGCAAGACCTCCTCAGGCTCACTGTCACTCTCTCCCGCATCCTCCTCGTAGTCTGCCGCTCTGAAGATGTGAACCTGCCAGTCCAATCCATAGTCGGAAACCAGGGAGAGCTAAGAAGGATCAGGCCCTCATTTCCACTCGGTGATTGCAGCCTGCAGGAATGTCCTCAGGCTCACTCTCGCTCTAATGCACATCCTCATAGCCTTCTGCTCTGAAGATGTGAACCCGCCAGCCCGAAAGCAAAAGGAAAGCATACTGTTAAGTTAGTCCGCCTCAGCTCTTCGTTTCATCCATCACTGTCACTCTCTATCGCATCCTCCTCTAGGCCTGCTGCTTGGAAAACGCGAACCTGCCAGCCCGGAGCAGTAACGCAGGGAGAGCAAAGGAGGCTGGTGGCTGTTGGAAGCGGCGAGTGGCACAAGGCGACGAGAAAACCGAGTCAATCAGTATATCCACCATGACGACCCTGGTAGTGAACCTTGGGTTTTAATCAAATATCCTCCTGAAATCTGTGGTAACTGACTTAGAGTGGAAAGTCTTACAACGGTCTGTATAAAACCTGTGTGGTGGACAATTACGGTATGGGGGGTGGGGGGGAAGAGGGAGAAGGGACATCTATTGGGGGGTGGTTACGGAAGCACGCAAGCGAACTGCACTGGCAAGCAGGTTATAAGTTCCGGAAAATGGGAGGGATTGTTGATAGCAGATGCATTGGCAAACAGCTGCGATGTCAACCGAACAGCAACTGAGAATAAACGAAGATCCAACTTCAGTGAGAGAGATAATCAAACGAAGATCCAACTTCAGTGAGAGAGATAATCAAACTCACAGCGGCACAGCAGCCCTTTCATACCTCGAGCTGATTTTTGAGTCGAATCAAAAGACAGCAACTGAGAACAGACGGAGCTCCAGCTTCAGTAGGAAGGAGAGATAATCGGCTCGAAAATAAGCACAGCAGCACTTCCACACCTCGAATGTATTGCTTAGCCCCAAATGTGAACGTCAGCTCAGACTTCTTAAGAGCACCAACATACCGTAAGTGCCTCCCTCCCAGCCCACTTTTGCAGATACAGCATCAGCATCTACCTCCTGGTCTCAGGAAAAGCCCCATCAACCACCACTTTTGAGTTGGATCAACAGCTTGCTCCTAGTCCCAGGCAAAGCCCCTCCAGCCCCCACTCAGCCCTCTGCTCTTTCTCAAGAGGAAACTAAAGACTCCCCAAACCAAACCCTCCACTCCCCATTCCACCCGAACACCGTCTTACCTTGAGTGTATCGCTGCTGACTTTCTCGAACACCACGGCATCACCAGCATCCAGCTCCTGGTCCAACGCGAAGCCCCTCCAACCCCCACTCAGCCCTGACTTATGCGGCAGGTACTGGGCCCTCCACTCCCCCTCCCCCACTGCATACACCCCCCCCATCACCGCTCTCCTCTCCCCTAGTAACTCCTGCAAATCCCTCTGCAAACCCTCCTCTTGCGTCTCGTGCTTTTGTCTCCTTGGCCGTTTCCGGTCTGTGGTGTCCTTGGTATCCGTGGTGCCTTGTGGGTGGTCGACTTTGAGTGTGAGGGTGGCGATGCTGCGAGGGAGATGCGCCGTGCAGAAGCCTTTGTTCAGTCCCTGGGGGAGATGGGGGGAAGACGAGGGGACGAAATGGAGGAGGGGAGTCAGTGGATGAAAGTTGAGGAGAGAAAAGAATGTGAGAGGGGTAAGACGCTTCTGGCTTGCATGGGAGGGAGGTGGTCCACGCAGCCTTTGTTCAGACCCTGGGAGAGACAAGGGAAGAAGAGGGGAGGATGAAATGGATGAGAAAAGAGGAGAGGAAGGAATGCGAGGGGAGGGGTGTCTTGCATAAGCCTTAGTTCAGGTGCTAGGGAAGACGAGGAGAGAGGAGGGGAGGTAAACAGGGAGGAAGCAGTGGAGGAGAGATGAGAGGAAAGAGCCCTAGGGGTTGACTCGAGATGCTTTGGGCGGCAAGGGAAGTGAGTTATGCAGAAGAGCTGTTCAGGCCCTGGCGATGGGAGAGAGGAGGGGAGGAATGAGGGGGGGAAGCAGTGGAGAAGAGAGGAGGGGAAGCTGTGGAGGAGGGATGAGGAGAGGGAAAGCTGCGAGAAGGGGGACACGAGATGCTTGGAGCTCAGTCACACAAACGGCATTTTGATTGTTCGGCTTCAAGTTTTGAGGCCCCTCAATTTGTTACTCAAGCCTCACTGGTTGCTTCCAGTAATATGTTGATGTTCCTGAGAATACTTAGAGCTCTTAGTGTTTGCCGAGTACAAGTTTACAAGCTTTACACTGTCTTTCTCTTGCTAAGCCTAACCTTCGAAACTGCTACTCTCTGAGAACTGAGACTGAAGACTGCTTCCAGGTAAAGCATTCCTTTACCTTGTGATGCCCGGTTCCGCTTTTACCATGCGCGTCGTCAAGCAAGCATGTGCACGGGCAATCCAGACGGAAAAGGGATAGACACTCAGACAGAAGGAAAAAGAAACCTAATCATGTACATGTACCCCTCACGCGCGGCATCTATCTATCCTCACAACTATCCGGCCGTCCCAAGCCTCCTTTTGTGGTCTCGAAGAAACCCTCTGATTCAGCAAATTACAGTTTGGAAAAAGACGTGAGAGACAGCGTACGGCAGCAAATAGTGTAAGGAGTGCGGAAAAGAGCGTGAGAGAACGTAGGGAGACGGACCAGCCAGAAACCGCCAGACATTTGTGACGGTTGGATGTGCTTGCACATGCAGGGGCAGTGCAGAGCCTCCATCAGACCGTCCGCTGCCCTTAAAGCCCTCTCCTGTGCCTCGGGAGAGGCCACTTGCCTTGGCTGAGAGAATCTTGCGCCCCCTACTGCCCGTTTACTGTGGATGGATACCATCGAGGAAAGGGCAGAAGAGCAGAAGACATGGCAACGCGATGACTAAGAGAGAATGTTGAGAGAGATGGTGACAGAAATGAAGCAGCAAGGACTGTGGTGAGCAGGGAATGTGGACCTCATGTAACCCATGGGTCGGCTTTGTTGCCTTTCCTTCAGGCCGGGAGCACACACATGGTTGCCAGAGAGTCGCCGTCCCCATCATGGTCATCTGAGATAGACTTGAGCATTTTACCTGGTCGGGTCGCGGGTACCCGACCTGACCTGACATTTTGGCCGGGTCGGGTAATAGGATTTTGACCAATTACCCGGCCGGGTCGGGTCGGGTACTCGGGCCGGGTAATGCATACCCGTTACCCGAGAATTACCCGAAATGTCGGGTAATTTATTACCCGTCGGGTCGCGGGTACCCGACCCGACTTTGGGTTTGTTACTCTGGGTTTGCTGAATTCTACAGCCACCTGGGGGTACCCGGGTAATATTACCCGACTTCAATTAAATGCGGGTCGGGTATACCCGACCCGACAGACGGGTACCCAATTACCCGGTATTAAAATGTCGGGTCGGGTAACACACCTCCAAACATTACCCGGAAATTACCCGACCCCACCCGACCCGGACCCGATTGCGGGTAGGGCAAAACCGGGTCGGGTCGGGTAATTACCCGGTTTTGCTCATGTCTAATCTGAGAGATATAGAAGTCTAGATTTGAGGTGCCTCAAAACTACACCTCCGACGACTAGTCATCGGAGTCAGTACACATGAGCAGGGGGCCAAGCCCGCTGGCTTGCTGAGCCCTGCCGAACCAGCTCGCCGAGCTGCGAGCCCGGCTCGGCTCGCAGTCTCTCAGCGGACGAGCCGGTGCCGGCTCCATGGCTCGACGGGCTCGACAAGAACGACGTCTCTGCTCATCAACAACAAGCCTTACCCCAGTCGCGTCGCGCTCGTTCGAAATTCGAGAAAATCCGAAGGCAGATCTGCACTGAAGCAGATCTGCCTAGCCTCATATGGTTGGGTCGGGGTATGGCTGAGGATGGGGTTAGTGGGGGTGTGACTATAACGAATGGCATATTTAGCAATCGAGCCAACAGAGGTTTGCGAGCTGGCTAGCTCATGACGATCTGACCCGGCTCGGCTCGAGCCACCCCCCGGCTCGACCGCTTTACACAAGCCTCGAGGTGGACTAACGGCTGCCCAGCTCGTGACAAGCCCGGCTCGGCTCGGCTCGGCTCGGCTCTACGTGTGAGCATGGCTTAAGCTGAGCCCTAAGTGCGAGCATGGCTTAAGCTGAGCCCTAAGTGCGAGCATGGCTTAAGCTGAGCCCTAAGTGCGAGCATGGCTTAAGCTGAGCCCTAAGTGCGAGCATGGCTTAAGCCGAACCCTACAAGCCAAGCAAGGCTTTGAGCCGAGCTGGGATGAATGGAATCTGTTTGTGCTAATGTGTAGTAATGGCCAGCAAGTCTCATCCAGTCTCATTCCACCAGTTAGTAGGGGTTAGCATCTCTTGACTAACGGGCTCATCTTCACTCCCCATTGAACACCAGCCTATCTCGAATGGATCTCATGCGTTAAAAGCAATGCAGGTCCAAGCTTTTGGCGTCACTTTTGGGGACAATGAAACACCCCAGTACTCGACAGCCTACCATCTCACACATGAACAAATCGAGCAGCTAATTAACATGTCATGCATGTATGTATGTATGTACTATGCATGCACGGACCTTGGCACCTAGGATAGGACGACTACCAGCTTCCACTCATCGATTTCGCCCGTAGTATTCTGCTCAAGTAACCACCCCTTACGACTGTGACCCTGTAGTGGGAGCAAATTACTGGCACCGTGCGCCGAACCAAAGCAACTGCGCCGAGAAAGAAAAACCCCTGGCACCATGTAGACAAGCATGCCTAGTGGCAAAAAAGTCACACCACGTAGATCACCAACGCTGACTGGCAGAACATCCTCCATGGCATCTCACATGCTGTTCTCTGAAGACAGGAAAACGCTGACTGACCCACTCAACTACCAAAATACCCAACTGCCAGAGTCGGCACGGTTTTGAGTCTTCTAGACGGCATCAAGTCACGCCGCGTGATGGTTTTGTCCTTTGGGGTGCCTACATATTTACGGTGAGATTTGTCTACGGCTGTGCACTGGTGATTCAGGTCGAGTGGCTTGCAAATCCAGGGCCCAGGCTACTAAGAGGTGGTAATCTGGTGACCGAGTAGTGCCATAATAGGAGGAGGAGATGCATCTATTAAACGGAAGGTGGACCACGGAAGGTTACAAGCACAGTGAAGGAGAGGAGAAAGGAAAGTAAGGAATAGAGAGAAAAAAGAAGACAAGAGAGAGAGTCGAAGGAGCGAAAGAAAGTAAGCAACAAAGTAAGGAAGATGCCAAGGAGGAAACACACATAGAGGAAGAAACAAAGAGAGGAAGAAACTGAATAAAACAAAGAACGAAAATATGAGAACAATGACGGGAGAAAGGAGAAGTGAAAGAAAGGAACTCATCAACCCAAGCCTCAAACACACACATATGCACGCACATGGTTCCCCCACATGTCCAAAGGCTGTTGTGCCTAAGCTTCTCAGGTGTCCAAAGGGGATAAAGTGTTCCTTTCCTACACTTCTTTCCTCGGCGTTTCTTCTCAGACGTACCTCTGTTTCCAGTCCACTACCCCAGCACTCTCAAGCCAAGAGCAGCTGTGCAAATAGGATCGCATTCCAATACTTGGGCACCTCCAAAGTCATGCCAGTCCATAAGGCCGGCACCAGCCAGAAGCAGCCGGCACGTGTGCTCTACTATTAGCCCTCTAGCCACAAGAACTCCACTAACTGAGCACTAGTCCTGCACTAGCCCGCAACTCACCAGCCAGAAGCAGCCGTGCACGTGAGACCGCACCATTGCTTTCACCATCGCTGAAGGCTGCCCTTTCCCCTTTCCCTCTCTTCCCTCCCCCTCTCTCCCCCTCTCCTTCTCGTGCTGTGCAGGTGACAGCCATCCCCGCGCCAGTGCTTCGGCCAGCAGGCCTGCAGCCCTCAGAGCCCGTTCCTCTGCCTCAGGTGAGACCGCCACTCGGGGGCGGTACTCAGCCTCGCGACTCACACGTCTCACTCCCCTGCACGCAACAGATCAAGAGTTGGTGGAAGGTGGTGGTGTTTTTCAGCGCATCAGTTAGCAGGCCTCCAGAGACATGGGCACAACTCCGAGCCGAGCTGAGCTGGCTTCGAGCCAGGCTTCAGCCGAGCGGAGACGAGCCGAGCCAAGCCGAGCCGAGCCGGCTTCGGTTCGGCTCAGCTGAAGGCCGGCTCGGCTCGGAGAAGCCAGCTCCAAGCCCGGCTTCAGCCGAGCCGAACCGAGCCGAGCCGAAGCCAAGCCCAAAACAAGCCAACTAGGCTCGGCTCGTTTTTGAAGCCCTGAAGCCAGGTGGGGGCGGCTAGGCTAGGGTTTCTGAAAACGCGACTCTCAAATGAGAGTCGCGTTTTCTGGGGGGTCGAATTTTGACCAACTAACTTACAAACTCCAACCTTTCCAACTAGCTCCCTCCCTTTCACCGCACTCAACTCGTTCCCGTCTACAAACTCAATTCGGCTTCCAACCAACTCCATCCCTTTCACCGCACTCAAACCCCCCCTGTGTACAAATTCCAACCTTTCCAACTAACTCCCTCTCGTTCACCGCACTCAACTCCTTCCCATCTACGAACTCCAACCTTTCCTCACAAATGCTCCACTCTCCCCTACTCGCCTCCCTTCCCGTTTTGCGGCAAGACCTAAAACAGCGCACGCCAGCTCAGGCAATTTCCGCTTGCATTTCATACGCTAAATGTGTTTCCATCACCATAGCCTCAAGTCGCGCTGAAGCCGAGCCTGGTCGAGCCAGGCTTCAGCTTGGCTAGGCTCGGCTCGGCTTCGGTTTCAGTGAAGCCGCGAGCCGAGCTGAGCCGGCGGCTCGGCTTCACCGAGCCGAGCCAAGCCGGGCAACCTCGGCTAAAAAAAAAACCGGCTCGGCTCGGTTCCGAGCCGAGCTGGCTCGGATTTTAGCCCCTCTGCTCTGCCTCAGCTGTGACAGGCACTCAGGGGCGGTACTCAGCCTCGCGACTCACTCGCCTCGCTTGCCAGCGCGCCACAGAACAAGTGTTGGTGGAAAGTGGTGGTGTTTTTCATGCTTCGGCCAGCAGGCCTGCAGCCCTCTCAGAGGCTGCAGCCCTCAGAGCCCGCTCCTCTGCCTCTGCAGAGATGGGCACTCCGCGGCGGCGGTACTCAGCCTTGCGACTCACACGTTTCATGTGTCTGCACGCTGCAACAGGGGGTGAGAGAAGTGTTTGTTAGAATTCTTGAAAGCCCTCAGAGCTCTTTGCTCTGCCTCTCTGCAGTGGTGGGCACTCGGCAGCGGTACTCAGCCCCGCGACACACACCTCTCACTTGCCTGCGCACTGCGATTGGAGGCGGAAAAGTGTTGGGGCCTCTCTAGATTCCACTCAAAAGGCACTCTTTGCTGGAACTGTGCCTCTCATTTAGGCTTGAGCAACGGGTCGGGTCGGGTTGGGTAACCCGACCTGAACCCGACTTTTTGACGGGTCGGGTCGACATTTGCGGAGGGTCGACCCGACCCGACCCGACCTGACCCGACCCGACCCGACCCGACCCGACCCCTCGGGTCGGCTTGTTACCCGTCCCTGCCCCTATGCCAGCCCGACCCGACCTGACCCGAAATCGGGTCAGGTAGTACCCGACCTGTTAAACCCAGGTCGGATTGACATTTCCCGAGCTCCGACCCGACTTGACCCGACCCGACCCGACCCGAACCCGGCATCGGGTAGGGCAAAGTCGATTGGGTCGGGTCGGGTCAGGTTCATGCTCAAGCCTACTCCCATTTGCTCCCAGCGCGTCTACCAAGGTCCGTGAGCAGTTAGCAGCGGAAACCTCTTTGGTCCTCCTCAGGCGGAGTGTGTCATGTTAACAGGCACTGTAGGTGCCGTTGGTCGGGAAATCGTACTCGGTGTGACATTCTAAGGAAGATTCTTGGATTACAAGTGGAGGTGAGATGGAGGAGTGACCTTTAGGTGGTCGCACAGCACATCCCAAGAAGATGCTCTATTCTTCAGCAGGGCGTGGGAAGTGACTGCACTATGGATACAGCGACTTGAAACAACTAGGGAGAACTGGTCAAGTCAGGACTCTATTATTTAGGCGCCTAAAAAAAAACAGATCACGATTGGGAGGGCAGCCGGCCAAAAGTTGAGAGAACAACTGAGGAAAGTCAGCCAAGTCAAGGGCAAGAATGGAATCAGAAACAACATGCAACGAAGAAGGCGAGGAAAGAAAGCAAAGGAAAGAAAAGGGAATTAGAGAGAGCGAGGGAAGGCTATCTGCTCGAGCTTAGCATTCAGCCAATGCGAAGCATCCCCAAAACATGCATGCATGATGCATGCATATGGTACGCCTCTCATGCTCTGACTCTACCACCTGAGCAGAATCCTGCCCAACTAGACATGGGCATAGTGACGAGCCAAGCCAGTCTTTTCTTGTGCCCAGCTCAACTCGAGCCGAGCCGGCCCGAGCTGGCGGCTCAGCTCGAGTCGACATGCAAACACGACTCGAGCTGGGGTTGTTCGGCTCGAGTCCGGCTTGTGCGGATCTGGCTGACGAAATGCCCGCCCGCGCGACACTGACGGGTGCAATGCCCGCAAGCGCGGATCTGACAGGAAAAGCGCAGATCCGCGCAGATCTGGCAGGCGAAATGCCCTCCTACCCATGCAATTCTGACAGGCGAAATGCCTTTTAGGCTGCGCCTGACGAGCCGAGCCGAGCAGGCTTGAATTCGAGCCGGCCCTGGCTTGACCCTGACTGACAGGGTCGCAATGCAGGCAAAGGCCGGCACGAGGTGTGCTTTGCATAACGCGTGTGACTCGTCGTTGGCAAACGCAGCATAACCCCCTGACCCTGGGGCGAAGTGCCTGCTTTCCTGTAGAATAAGCAGAACACCCTCCATCACTGCGGACAGCCTACGACACTAGAGTTCAGATGGCGCTCACTAAGGCGTGACTAAATGCATAGTGCCTTAAGAATGCGCACAAGACCAACCTCTGACGCCATTCAAGATGTGTTGGCTCGAGCAGATCGCCAAGCCAGCGGGTCACATCACAATGGTATTGTGTTGCTCCATATTGCCAAAAAGGCTGACAATCAGCATGAGTCCAGCACCGACCCATATGGGACGCGTCGTGGTGGAGAATCGTACCACAGTGGAGTGGACGGAGGCGCTGGTCTGGGACCGGCCCATATGTATGTACCTACTGGAACCATTTCACCACAGGTACATATCGCTCCACCAAGGACCGTTCATATGTGGAAGCAACCTCGCAACACAGCAAGGGTGCTCTCGCGCACACTTCTCGGTTCACACTCTCCGCTAGGTATTCTTCCGATGCTCCCTCAACCTCGAGCCATCCCTGCTGCAGCGGATTTTGGAAAAATAAACCTCCCCTCCAGAGAGATCGAAACGTCCATCACAACATGCACAGGCACTTGATTTGGACATGATCAAGGGACGGGCTCGGGCCAGCCTGGGCCGGCCCCTCTGCTGGCCCCTGGCCTGTATCGTATGAATTGGAAAGCCCGTAGACGGGCCAGGCCGGCTCGTGCCTGTCCTCCGCCCCCCCCCCCCCAAACTCTCCTAGAGCCAATTCAGCCCCCCTTTACCTATCGCATTCTCAGCTTGCATGACGGCACACTATGCGCCGCCACCTGACGACAGCATAGTCCTCCTCGTACCACTTCTTCGGTGCCTCTTATCACTCCCACAATCCCATCCCGAACCTCCCTCCCACCACCCCCCCTTGAATGTGCCTTGCGGGTAGGCATGAGCACAGGCCCCGTCCGTTTCTGGTCGGGCCGCCGGACCTCGGGCCGACCTTGGCAAATCCCCGGCCCGTGCCCGGATTTAGCGGTCGGGCCGGCCTTGGCCCGGGGGCAGGCCGGGCTGGGCCTGGGGCAAAAACCGAGCGGGGGGCAGGCCAGGGCAGTCTGGGGGCGGCGGGCCAGGCCGGGCCAGCTAAGGTCAGGTCAAGTTTCACAGATGGGTGGCCCGAGCCTGGCAAATCAGGGCCAAATCCCGGGCCGGGCCGCAACTGGGTCAAGTTTTTCGACCTAGGAGTCGATTTTTCTTACCCGTGCGGCTCGGGTCATGCAGGTCGTCGATGGGCCGCGCGTCGGCCCGTCGTCGACGGAGAGCATAGTCCACAGGCCGGACGCCACGGGAGGATTGAGCCCGAGCCCATATTGTGACAAGCTCGGCTGGGCCGGCCCGCCCCCAACCCGTCCCTCTGCTCATGTCTAGCTTGAGTGGCTCTGTCGAATGCCTGCTTGCGATTGCACGACTTCCCCAATCAAAGCCACTTCAGGGTGGGCATGCAGAGAAACTGCATGCATGGTGGTGTTGCCAAGTATTGGCAACGTTTCGAAGGGAGAGTGTTGCGACTATTCAGGGCATACTCCCGCACACAGCCTTCTCTCCCCTGCCAGGCTTCCCCCCCTCCATGGCCTCAACCCCTCTCCAAGAAAGTTGTGCAAAGTTGAGCTCACTATATAATGGCTATCACTTTTGCCATCAGAAGACTCACCTTGAATTTGGAAGTAGGTAGCTTGGCTTCGACCTTGTGAAAGTGTAGTGCTTTTGGAAATTCTTCCGAATTCTACACTTTTGCCATAAGGAGACTCACCTTGAGCGAGCAGGAGCCTTGAATTCGACCTGTGAAGGAGGAGGGAGGAAGGAGGCAAGGAAGTGCAAGGACAGGCATGCAGCAGGTGAGAATACAGTGGGTGGGTGGGTTTGGATGAAAAAAACAAAAACAGACATAAAAGGACGATTATTTCACAGCTCACAGAGAACATGGAAACAAAACACTTCAGGCAAAGAAAACAACAAGAGAAAAATGTTATCCAACAACCACACAACATAGAATCCTACACCACACCACCCTACCTGACATACAGCCTCACGTCGCACCATCAAAAGCATGCATCATCCCATGCTCCCATCTCGTCTTCGTGCCCTTCAACATCCCATCATATACGCTTCCAATCAGCAGCACCCATCCCATCCCATCCCATCCCATCCCATCACACCTCAAGGCATCTCGGCTTCATGCCCTTGGCTTGGCTGGCTGCCATGCGAGCTGACGTCCGTTGTGGCAGCAACGCATGTCGCAGTCTTGTCCCCTGCGCGGACCTCATCTCACCTCAATGTATCTCGGCTTCGTGCCCTTGGCCGCCATGCGAGCTGACTTGCGCTGCGGCAGCAGCAACTCTCGTTGCCGCGGCACTTTCCTTGCTTCGCTGCGCGGGGCCTGAGGCACAGAGGGGTGGGAGAGGAAAGGCCAGGAGGCGAGACCGCAGGGCGTACAGGTGGTAAGACAGAGGAGACTACAGGCAGTGAGGACACGGGGGGGGCTCTACAGGCGGTGAGGACATGGGAGGGGGGGCTACAAGTGGTGAGGACATGGGGGGGGGCTACAGGCGGTGAGGAAATGGGGGGGGGGTACAGGTGGTGAGGACATGGGGGGGGCTACAGGCGGTGAGGACATGGGGGGGCTACAGGCGGTGAGGACATGGGGGGGAGCTACAGGCGGTGAGGACATGGGGGGGGGCTACAGGCGCTAAGGACATGGGCGGGGCTATAGGCGGTGAGGACATGGGGGAGGGCTACAGGCGGTGAGGACATGGGGGGGGGGGGACTACTACAGGCGGTGAGGTCATGGGGGGGGCTACAGGCGGTGAGGAAATGGGCGGGGGCTACAGGCGGTGAGGACATGGGGGGGGGCTACAGACGCTGAGGAAATGGGCGGGGGCTACAGGCGGTGAGGACATGGGGGGGGCTACAGGCGGTGAGGACATGGGCGGGGCTATAGGCGGTGAGGACATGGGGGAGGGCTACAGGCGGTGAGGACATGGGGGGGGGGGAGGGCTACTACAGGCGGTGAGGACATGGGGGGGGGCTACAGGCGGTGAGGAAATGGGGGGGGGGCTACAGGCGGTGAGGACATGTGGGGGGCCTACAGGCGGTGAAGAAATGGGCGGGGGCTACAGGCGGTGAGGACATGGGGGGGGCTACAGGCGGTGAGGACATGGGGGGGGGGCTACAGGCGGTGAGGACATGGGGGGGGGCTACAACCGGTGAGGACATGGGATGGGGGGGGGCTACAGGCGGTGAGGACATGGGGGGGGCTACAGGCGGTGAGGACATGGGGGGGGGGCTACAGGCGGTGAGGACATGGGGGGGGGCTACAACCGGTGAGGACATGGGATGGGGGGGGGCTACAGGCGGTGAGGACTTGGGGGGGCTACAGGCGGTGAGACCGAGGGGCCTGTTGAAGGGAGGGTTAGGAGAGGGGGACCAGACCAGGTGAGAGAGAGGAGCACGGCAAGGTGCGCAGCAGAAAGGGTTGGAAGAGGGCTAGAAGAAAGGGGGGTCTGGAGAAGTTGACACGAGTTGTTGCTGGGCGGATGGGAAACGAGGAGAGGGGTCCTCTTTGCAGCCCTCTTTCCGGGTCAAAGCTACGAGATGTTGGGTTTCGAGGAGAGGTCAGAGGTGGTGATGGAAGGAAGGCAGGGGAGGGAGGGAGAAAGGAAGGGGGAAGGCACGCACGACAGGGAACATCCTACCATGGCTTTGCTCTCTTGCGACGAGGACAGGTCTCTTGACGCCTCCAGTATGCCCAGCTCCTGATGGCCGCAGGGAGGGGTGGGGGAGGGGAGGCGGCAGGGAGGGGTGGGTGGGGGAGGGGAGGCGGCAGGGAGGGGTGGGTGGGGGAGGGGAGGCGGCAGGGAGGGGTGGGTGGGGGAGGGGAGGCGGCAGGGAGGGGTGGGTGGGGGAGGGGAGGCGGCAGGGAGGGGTGGGTGGGGGAGGGGAGGCGGCAGGGAGGGGTGGGTGGGGGAGGGGAGGCGGCAGGGAGGGGTGGGTGGGGGAGGGGAGGCGGCAGGGAGGGGTGGGTGGGGGAGGGGAGGCGGCAGGGAGGGGTGGGTAGGGGAGGGGAGGCGGCAGGGAGGGGTGGGTGGGGGAGGGGAGGCGGCAGGGAAACAGGTGAAGTTAGAGGAGGAGAAGGGAGGATCAGAGGCTATAGAGAGGCATAGAGGGGTATAGAGGCGCATAGAGGGGTGTAGAGGGGCATAGACGGGTATAGACGGGCATAGAGAGGCATAATGAGGTATAGAGAGGAATAGAGGGGTATACAGAGGCATAGAGGCGCATAGAGGGGTATAGAGGGGCATAAAGGGGCATATAGAGGCATAGAGGGGCATAGAGAGGCATAGAGGCGCATAGAAGGGTATAGAGGGGCATAGAGGGGTATAGAGGGGCATAGAGAGGAATAGGGGGGCATAGAGAGGCGTAGAGAGGCGTAGAGAGGCGTAGAGAGGCGTAGAGAGGCGGAAGTAAAACCATTTGAAGCGGATTATAGTCTCGGATCGCAATGCCACGCCTGCCTCTCATGCTGTACCGAAGTCGCGCCCGCTTCAGTGCGGTGCATTTGCTGCGTGCGACTGCTGGCATCTCACGGTTGACATGGTATGGTACATTTGCCGGCTCCCAGCCGCAAGGCAAGGTACGAGGAAAGCTTTCGCGACTGACGCATCCACGAAACTCTCGCAGGCGTGCATTGCGGCTGCTATCACCGCCATTCGTCGCACATTGCGCACTGGCAGCCGCGAGTTGACTTTCGAGTCGACTCAACAGTCACCTCGCAATCGAGCACGCGCTACTACGCATTCGCGCTTCTGAGTCGACTCGCAAAGCCGCGAGCACGCACTGCGCGAATGGCATTCGCGCCGCCATTGCGCCACGCGACGGAGTCCGCCTGCGATGGACTGCTAGAAGCGCCCTCGCTTCGTCGCACATTCGCGAGAATAGACGACGGTAACAACAACCCGCGTGCATTCCGCGCGCGTCGACGGTAACAACAACCCGCGTGCATTCCGCGCGCGTCGGCGGTAACAACAACCCGCGTGCATTCCGCGCGCGTCGACGGTAACAACCCCGCGAATTTCGCATGCGGGTGACGAGAGCAAGGGCCAATCGGTCGACTCACCGCCATGCGTTTCTGGTTCTCCTGGATCCGCTGCTTCCGTGCAGCTTCGTACTCCGACTTCGGCGGCGGAAGTTCCGGCGCCATTTGCGGAGGACGGCGAAAGGAGAGAGGGCGCGATAAGGAGGGCGGGAAAAGGAGGGCGGGAAAAGGAGGGCGGGAAAAGGAGGGCGGGAAAAGGAGAGGGCGGCAAATGATCCGTCTCAAAATGGTGGCGAATGGAGGGAGGACTCCCCGCCATGCCACATTTGACCAGCTTTGCCTCCGATAAATTCGCGTCTTGCTGGACATAACTCTTAAAACCCGAAAAGTGTTAATCTACATCACCACTAGGTGGGGCTTATATGAAACGAGTGAAACATTCCAATTTTCTCACGAAATACAAACATCACATGACTAATATGCATGTTCATGTTGTGTAACAACACCACTCGATTTTTTGTGTCTTTTATTCAAGCAGAATATTGTGCAAGACAAAGGCACGTACAAAATATTGTGCAAAATTTGCCAGACTGGTGAGTGATCACAAAATCCAATCACGAAGCACTCGAATCAATTGGCTAGGTAGGAACTACATGCTATATGCCCACGGTATGCCATGGCCCCCATGCAGCCCCAGCCAAGGTGAGCACTGAAAGCCCCACCAGAGCCCATGTGCCCACTTGGGAGCTACTCGTAGAAACCACCTTCGGTTTATGCTTCCCAAAATGCAACACGGCACTGTCTTCCTTTCTCCCTCTGCCTTCACCCCTTTCGTTGCCATCCCTCTGATTTCCTTCCTCACACCCGCCTCCCTCTCCTCTCTCTTCCCCACACCCATCACTCCCCCCCTTTGCTGTACAGCCCTCTCCTCCCCCCACCCTTGCTCCCCCGCTCGGTTTGGAAGGGGGTATGTCGGTGGAGGGGAGAGGGTAAGGGGCAGGTGTTATCTGGACAGGCATGACTGAGGCGACGTAGTCAGTGACGGGCACCTGTTGGTGAAGGGGGGAAAGAGATAACAAGAGAGGGCAGAAAGGGGAAAGGGAATCAAATTATCGAATGAGACACGGGACTACGCAAGAGGCAGGTGCTATCTGGACAGGCATGACTGAGGCGACGTAGTCAGTCACTGGCACCTGATGGGAATGGGAGGGAGGGTTGGGAGAGAGGAGAGAGGGGAAAGGGGAACAATGACTGACTGGGGAATGGAGGTATGCAAGACGAGAGAGGGGGTAAGAGGCAGGTACTATTTGGACAGGCATGACTGAGGCAACATAGTCAGTCACTGGCACCTGTTGGGGATGGGAGGAAAGGTTGGGAGAGAGGGCAGGCAAGAAAGGGGAGGGCTAAGGACAAAGGGAGAGAGCAAATGATATGTCCTTCCATGGCATAGCATGGCATGGAATGGCACAGCACGGCACGGCATGAGTCGCCTGGTGAAAAGGGTCTGGGAAGCTGATGGTCTGGTGTCCAGGGGTGGACATGAGAAAGGCCGGGTCGTATGACGCCAAGAGACTGCAGGGGCGCTACACAGTAACGTTGATGCCTGGCTGAACCCCCTCACCTGGTGCAGAGGGACGATGCCTAGGTTCATACCCCCTCACCTGGTGCAGAGGGACGATGCCTGGTGTGAGGCGCCTCACAGGCTTTATCTCGCTTAGAACCCCTCACAGGCCGCATTACCTAGGTTCATATCCCCTCACCTGGTGCAGTGGGGCGGGGAAGCTGACGCTGCTGTATCCAGGAGTTGACATGAGAAAGGCCGGGTCGTAGGACTCGAACAGACTGCAGGGTGCCATACGTGGCATTGGATGGCATGGCATGGGATGGGCACATGGTTAGGGGACATGCAGCGAGGATGGCACGGGGCATGGGAGGCATGCGAATTGCATGGTCATATGACTCGAATAGGCTGCATGCATGCACAGCACATTGCACAGCATGGCATCGCACCTGTGCAGATATGAAGGGTGGCATGGCAAAGCCTGGAAGCATGTGAAGGGCAAGGCCGTATGATTCTTTTAGGCTTCAGGAAAGCACAGGCATGGAGATGGCCTGGGAATAAGGATCCTATAACTTCGCAGCAAGAATTCTGCCCTCAGATTACTCTACCGTGAAAGAAAACAGGCCCTACGGGAGTGCCGTTGCTTGGCAGGGAGGGGTTACCTGGCGAGGGAGGCGTTACCTGGCGAGGGAGGTGTTACCTGGCAAGGGAGGCGTTGGAGCGAGCGTTGATCTGATGCAGAAAGTGCAGCGTGTGGAAGGTGAAGCGATCCACCACCGACACCCCCAGCTGAGAAGGGCGGATTGGGGAGAGTGGAGAATGGAGAGAGAGAGGAGAATGGAGAGGAGAGCCGATAGGGGACCGGGTAGGGAGAAAGGGAGGTGGGAGTAAGTGCAGCGTGTGGAAGGTGAAGCAATCGACCGCGGATACCCCAAGCTGAAGAGGGGGGAGCGGAAAGGTGACGAGAGGAGAAGGGGGGTGGGGGTTGGGAGGGGGAGGGGGGAGGGGGAAAGGGGGGGGGGAGAGGATAGGGTGGGGGGAAGAATGAGTATGTAAAAATCGTCTGATCAAAAGTTTCTCCTTTTCTTGAGAAATAGTTTCTATATAATTTTGACTCAATAAGGCTGTTCTCTCCAGCACGCTCTCACACATCAGCCCGTTTTTCTCACAATAACAGACCCTTACAGCAGTGCCATGTGCTTATAGTCGACGGTGCATGCGACAGGGTGTGCTTGTACGGACATCAACGAGTTACAACAACTATGTTTTCACAGCAGCAATCGCCTATAGCAGCATGTGATTCCACACAATGTACTTTTAACCGATCGTGCTCATAATGGATTGTGCTTACATCGACGTCAGGCAGGGAGGAGTACGACACCTGTACACAACTGAATGTGCCTGTATGTGACGTGCTTACAGCACATCGTGCACAGAAGAGAGTGTGCTCACATCGACATCAGGCAGGTAGGAGTAGGACATCTCGCCCTTGGCGCTGCTGGCCACAGACACAATGCCAGGGGAGTAGATCTGCACATGCGTTTTTTTTTGGGGGGGGGGAGGGGGGGGGGGGGGAGGGATATTGTAGCCCTTGGACCTTGGTGGCGCTGCTGGCGAGTTGTAAGGCGCCTCAAAACGGGGGGTGGAGTGGGGAAGGGGGGGTGGAGGGACGTGGATATTGTAGCCCTTGGCACTGCTGGCGACAGCAGTGGAGGAATGAGCATAGCCTTAGGCTCTCACGCCCAGCTAAAGGGGATTGAAACTGATGGGGTCGAGAGGTGTATGAAGAGCGTACAACTGAAACCCATCATCGTAGTTATTGACTGTCGTTCCTGTACTATTCGAGCATCCGAATCGAGATGTTTTCTTTTATGTGCCCAACTTGTTTTTAGGTGACTTTCGAGTCGACTCAAAAGTCACTTCTTTTATGTGCCCAACATGTTTTTTTTTCAGTCCTGTCTATGACCCACACTTTCGGCGTCTTGAACATCTAGTTGTTGTTGCTAGAATGGCTGCAATGTCATTCCTCTCTGGAAGTTGCTTCCTCATATCTTCGCATGCTTAGGACTTGTTCCACAACTGGTTGGTTCCACATCCGGTTGGTTCCACGGCCGGTTGGTTCCACATCCGGTTGGTTCCACATCCGGTTGGTTCCACATCCGGTTGGTTCCACATCCGGTTGGTTCCACATCCGGTTGGTTCCACATCCGGTTGGTTCCACATCCGGTTGGTTCCACATCCGGTTGATTCCACATCGGGTTGGTTCCACATCGGGTTGGTTCCACATCCGGTTGGTTCCACATCGGGTTGGTTCCACATCGGGTTGGTTCCACATCCAGTTGCTTCCACATCGGGTTGGTTCCACATCGGGTTGGTTCCACATCCGGTTGGTTCCACATCGGGTTGGTTCCACATCCGGTTGGTTCCACATCGGGTTGGTTCCACATCCGGTTGATTCCACATCGGGTTGGTTCCACATCGGGTTGGTTCCACATCCGGTTGGTTCCACATCGGGTTGGTTCCACATCGGGTTGGTTCCACATCGGGTTGGTTCCACATCCGGTTGATTCCACATCGGGTTGGTTCCACATCGGGTTGGTTCCACATCCGGTTGGTTCCACGTCGGGTTGGTTCCACATCGGGTTGGTTCCACATCCGGTTGGTTCCACATCGGGTTGGTTCCACATCCGGTTGGTTCCAGATTCCTGTCCAGGAGCTCACTGTGATCTCTTGCAATCGAGATTCACCCACGAACCGAAAAGCATGTAGAAGAGGTTTCAATGTCACAGGTACGTGCACGTACAAACCTCAGAGAAGAGTTTCTGTGCCTGGCGTGTTAATCACGAGAGGATTCAACTAGCAGCACCCCACTGTGGGAGCCTAGCATCAGGTAACACATGAATCCAGGAATGTGAACATACATTCGCCCGAGAAGAGTGTCTATACCTGGCAGTTGTCAATCATGAGTGGTATGGAGAGCAAGCAGCACTCTGACTGACAGCAGGGCATGGCATCCCATCCCAGCATATCCCAGTAGCAGCACGGCATGTGAGCATATCTCAGAGAATGGTGTCTGTGCCTGGCAGGTGCCCGTCGTGAGCGGTATGGAGTGCAAGCAACGCGCTAACATCGGGGCGCACCAAACCATAGCATCAAATCCCACTAGCAGCACAGCCGTTAATCACACCTTCAGGGAGAGTGCTATGCATCCCTTCCACGTGTCCATCATGAACAGTATGGAGTGCACGAATCACGCCAACATCGAAGCACACCATACCATCCCATCGCATCCAGCCCACTAGCAGCACGGCATGAAAGCATACCTCAGAGAATAGGGTCTGCGCTTGGCAGGTGTTGATCATGCGCAGAATCGAATGGTCTCAACGCCGTGACATCTGGGCATAGCGTCCCACCCATCCCACTAGCGGTATGCCCACGACCTAGTATGAGGAGAGAGTGTCACGGCATGTGAGCATACCTCAGAGAACAGGGTCTGCGCCTGGCATGTGTCGATCATGAGCAGAATAGAATGGTATCTGGGGCCAGGGAAAAAGGCAGAGGAAGAGGGAGGGAGGGGGTGAGGAGGTAGTGGGGAGTGTAAACTAATGTGAGTCCGATTAAGAGGGGAGGGGGGAAGGGAAGGGGGAGTGTCTGCACTTGGCACGTGTCGATCATGAGCAGAATGGAATGGTACCTGCAGCCACGGAAGAGGAAAGGGGGGAAGGAGGAGGAGGGAGGAGAGTGGTCTGGGGAGGGGAGAAAGGAGAGCGCGTGATAGATGGGAGCCATTCAGGTGCCTCATGTGTGTCGGTCATCAGCAGAATGGATTGGTGCCTGCAGCCACGGAAAGAGAAAGGGGGGGGGGAGGAGCAGGGGGAAGAGTGGAGATAGAAAGGGGAAATTGAGGTTCGTCAGATGTGTGTCATGGGAAGAATGGAAACTGCAGTGACTGGAAGCGGGTGGAAACAGTTCATGGAAGGGTGGTGGGGAAAAATCGGCAACCAACAAGAAAGATTGTCTGAACCCGGAATCGAACCGGAGACCTCCAGTGTGTGAGACTGGCGTGATAACCGACTACACCATCCAGACATGTCTTCAGGGTTCTGCGCCGCATAATGGGATAACCTTAAAACATCAGCGAATACACAGGATCTAAGTCGGGTGTATTTTAAGAAGCGTGTCTCCTCCATGCCCCTGTGGTAAGTACATCAGGGTGAGGGGGAATTGTGAGGGCAGGGGAACAAACCACCTCAGCTGCAGCAGCACGAGGTGGAGTGGATCGGCCAAGTCCTCCTGCACCTGCAGCTCCTCGTCATCCTCCAAATGCTCCTCTTTCTCCAGAAGAATGTTCCAGGAACGTGTCTCCCCCCCCCTCCGTGAGGTAGATCAGAGCACCCATCTCTCGCTGGTGCATGTGTTGGAAAGTGTCCGTCCGATCTGAGCCTGCACTGTACTTCTTTATCCTGAAATTACATGAATTTATTGCCCCCCCACCACCAGTGAGAGACTGCTAGTTTCAACCCCCCCACCCCCTCACCTCTGTTGCTGGTGCATGTGGTGAACGGCGTCAGGTCAGCTAGATCTTGGGCCTGCAGCTCCTCCTTGTCTTGGAACTTGAGAGACTTGTCGCCGCCGTGGCCAGTCAGGCCGGAGGATGCGGCCGCTATGGGAGGCCAGGGAAAGACTACTCACTGGTGGACAGGGAAAGGGCAGAATGATAGAACTCACCTCTGCTGCTGGTGCATGTGGTGGAAGGCGTCCGCCAGATCTTGTGCCTGCAGCTCCTCCTTGTCTTGGAATTTGAGGAACTTGTCGCCCCCGTGGCCAGTCATGTAGATAAGGATGCGGCTGCTGCCGTCCGATAACAGCCGCTTGCTGCGAGGAACAGACGGATTGTGCCGCCCAGTAAGCAGGCGCAGGAACGCGTCCACTGTCACCTCGGCACCGCGATAGTCCACCTGTAGGGGGGGGGAGAATGGGGGGACGGGGGGGGGAGAGTGAGAGGCGATTTCGAAGGGGAAGAGGAATCGATCGTGCCATGCGGATATTGCTCAGGGGGGTGTTGAGGGTTGGGGGGAAGGGGGGTTGGAAGGAGGGGGGGAGGGGATTGGGGTGGGGGGGGACGGGGGGGGATGGGGATTGGGGGGAGGGGGGTTGGGGATGGGGAATAGTCCTGCCCGGTTAACAGAAGAGGAATGGGAAGGGGACGGGAAAAAGAAGGAAAACGTCATGTGGTAAACAGGCACCGGAACACGCCTACTGTCACCTCGGCACCAGAGGTAATCCACCAAGGGAGGGGGTAGGGAATGGAAGGGGCAATCCACCAAAGAGGGGGGGTAGGGAATGGAAGGGGCAGTCCACCAAAAGGGGGGGACGGAAGGAAGGGGCCGTCCACCAAAAGGGGGGGACGGAAGGAAGGGGCCGTCCACCTGGTAACCAATGTTTCTGTGAGCATGCGTCCTCCCCCATCTCTTTCCTCCCCATGCTCTTACATCCCCATGCTCTTACCTCCCCATGCTCTTACCTCCCCATGCTCTTACATCCCCATGCTCTTACCTCCCCATGCTCTTACCTCCCCATGCTCTTACCTCCCCATGCTCTTACCTCCCCATGCTCTTACATCCCCATGCTCTTACCTCCCCATGCTCTTACCTCCCCATGCTCTTATCTCGGCGTGCTCTCACCTCCACGTGCTCCTCGGCGTGCTCTCACCTCCACGTGCTCGCCAAAAAGGTTCAGCTGGTGGTCAAGCTGTGGAAGATGCACGTTCAGGTGGTCTAATCTGTTCACGAACACCCCCAACGCTACCCCATGCTTCCACGTGCTCGCCACAGTCAAGTGACCCACGTTCATGGTGTCAGCTTCACAGTACCCCATGCTCTCACCTCCACGTGCTCGCCATAGAGGTTCAGGCGGTGGTCGGGGCTGTGGAAGACGCGGCCGGGGTGGGGGTTGCGCGGGTTGCACGGCATGTTGTCTGCTAGCATGAGGATGATGCGCTCGTCCGACACCCCTAGATCCCTAACGCTCCTGCAGTGCGATGGGTTATTATGAGGAAGTCAGGCAGGCAAACACGGGGTGGGGGGGGTTGCACGGGTTGCACAGCATGTTGTCCGCCAGCACCAGGATGATGCGCTCGTCCGACAACCCCAGGTCCCTCACACTCCTGCAAAGCGATGGGGTGAGAAATGCGGTAAGTCATGGGGTGGGGAGGTCCCGGGGATTGCACGGCATGTTGTCAGCTAGCATGAGGACGATCCTCTGATGCGATACCTCCGGGCCCCTCACACTCCTGCAGTGAGGTGGTGATCACGGGTGAGTTGAGCAGTCAAGCACCGCGTGGGGTGGGGGTTGCATTCCATGGCATGTTGTCTAGTAGCAATGGGATCATTCTGTTATCTGATCCACCTCAATCCTGTGGTGACATGGCATGGCATGGCATGGCATGGCATGGCATGGCATGGCATGGCATGGCATGGCATGGCTCGAGTCATTCACTGAGTCATGAGGTAAACTGGTTGCATGGCATGTTGTCTGCTACTAGCATGAGGATGCTTCTTGTGGTGCCAGGCATGGGATGAGAGTCACTCAACGAGTCATGAGGCAGAATGGCTGCATGGCATGTGTCGTGTCGGCTCCTTGTGCTTGTTGCGCCACATAAATAACTACCAGTACAACCGCTCATGCAACCTGTGCAACCCCCAGACCCAGATATAACATGTACCACTTGTGTGCGTCATGTCACCTGTAGAGCGCGAGCGTGTTGGTGTTGTCTCGATAGTTCAACCTGCCAGAAAGGCACACGCAGAGGAGGTGCAGTGCAATGGAATGGAATGGAATGGAATGGAATGGAATGGAATGGAATGGAATGAAGTGGAGTGGAGTGGAGTGGAATGGAGTGGAATGGAGTGGAATGGAATGGAATGAAGTGGAGTGGAGTGGAGTGGAATGGAGTGGAATGGAGTGGAATCGAGTGGAATGGAATGGAATGGAGTGGAATGGAATGGAATAGAATGGAATGCAGTGGATTAGCCAGCAGAGGGAGGAGGCAAGTGAGTGCGTCCAGACCAGCGTGCGTGGAAAGGCCGGTGTTTACGCGAACCAAGGATTGGCCACCCAACTAGACGTGTTCATGTGCCCAGCGGACGCTCAAATGTGTAGTAGCCACACCATCAGGCCACTCTGCAACACTCACAGAACAAGCACCACGTGGCGTGGCGGCCAATGGCAGACGAGGATTGGCCTCACAAGGATCCAATGGACGGCTGCCACGCCGCCATTGCCCAACCACCAACCATGATGGCTCAAATGCGTCAGCAGTGGCGTTTTTTCACTCCAGCATTTGCTGTCCACTCCACGGCCCACCCACCGCCCTCGCTTCCACCACCTAGCACCCCGCTCACCAGGTTAGTACGTTTTTTAGCATTCGCAAAAACCAACTGTCCACCCACCGCCCTCGCTTCCACCATCTAGCATCCCGCTCACCAGTTGCGCGACGACCCCACCAGCACCACCCACGCCTTGCTGCTACCCGTCTCACCTCCCCCCTCATTACTGCTCACCGACGATCCGCATTGCACCCCACCAACACACACTTACCAGTTGCGCCCACCAGCACCACCCACACCTTGCTGCTGCTCGCCTTGCACCCATCCTTATCACCACTCACCGCTGCACTGCACCGCCAGTTCTCTTACCAGTTGCGCGACGGCCCCACCAGCACCATCCACACGTTGCTGCTACCCGTCTTGTTGCGCTTCCACCCATATTACCACTCACCACCGCACTGCATCTTCTCACCAGTTGCGCGAGGATCCCACCAGCACCACCCACACGTTGCTGCTGCTCGCCTCGCCTCCCCCCGCCGCCATCCCTCCTCCCCCGCCTGTACCGGCACCGGCTGCGCCTTCCCCAGATGCAACCTCCGCCAGCAGTGCGACAAGAAGCGCCGCCCATGCGACGCACGCGACGCCTGTCGCTGCGACCAGGCAAGGCGTTCTGCGACAGGGGAGTAACATCGCCGGCGGGTTTCGCCTGAAAGCGAACTAGAGCGACGGAGGCGGGGACTCAAGGTAGGACTGTGATTAAAGCCTGCGTACAGAATGCTAGGAATTCTTGACTTTCATTCGTGGAAAAACGAACAAGAGTGGCGGAGGCGGGGGCTCAAGGTAGGACTGTGGTCCAGTCGAACGGCGAGGTTCGAGAAAAACCCATGGCCGCACAAAGCAGCGACGAGCGCGGTAATCCCACGTGTTTTACTCCTAGGTGGCTTGCTTGAATCGTAGCTTGATCTGCGTTGCACTGGCTTGGTTGGAAAGATGCTAATATTGAGGATGCACGACATTGACGACATCGGCGAAGAGACAGGTTACCCACATCGGAACAAGAAGTGTCCCAAAACTCTCTGTAGCTAGCATAAAGAGTGGTGCAGGCTGTGTATAAAACCGGTAACATCACAAACAATCTGAACGTTTAAAATTAGCGCACTTCATTTCTATCACCTTTTCCCAGCAAGGTACAGTTCCATGATTGTTCACTAATCTCCGACAAAATGTAGAAATAGATGTATTACCGCCCAACAAGGCCCAACTCGCATCAATTTCCCCCACAACCAGTGTGAGCCCTGCCGTCGATCCCGCGGAGCGTGCCTGCTGAACTAAGCCTAGGAAAACGCCTCTATACCCAGGTTTGGATCCGCAGTCTCGCCGCCTAACGTCAGCCACTGCTACCGGCAGTGACTCCAAAGGCGGACGTCGGGTTTTGAGCCCCCTGCTTTTTTTACCACTGGCAGTGACTCGAGAGGCGGACGTCGGTCCAAGGTGCGTCCCTGTATCTCGTGTGTGCCGTGCGCACGTTAAGTTAGGTTCTACTGTGCAGCCTGAAACCACCGTCCGATGGCGCAATGATAGATAGACTGACGTATGACACCTGGGATGCCGCCTGCGATCTGTGTTGCCGCGCTGGCTGGCGCAAGCGCCTGGCGCAATGCCTAGCGCGCAGCCTGATGGGCAAAGCGCTCTGGTCGTCGCGCTGGCCTGCGCCGGGCTTTTCTGTTGCCGGGGTTTCGGGTTTAGGGTGGGCGGGCAGGAGGGAGGGAGGCTGAGGGAGGGAAGGAGGGCTGGTTGCGCGGTGGAAGCAGTGCAGGATGGAGGGGCTTAGGCAGGGAGTGAGGCAGGGCTGATGGGAGGGGTTTAGGCAGGGCAGAAGGGAGGGAGGTAAGCAGGTCCGAATGGAGGGGTTGGGCAGTGCAGGAGGGAGGTGTTAGGCCAGGCAAAAGGGAGGGAGCTAGGCTAGGCAGAATGGAGGGAGTTAGGCAGGGCAGAAGGAAGGAGGGGTGCTGGCAGGGCAGAAGGAAGGAGGGGTGCTGGCAGGGTAGAAGGAAGGAGGGGTGCTGGCAGGGCAGAACCCTTAACCCGAAACCCTGAAGCCCGAACTCCGTGGGAACTGCGTGTGGTTCCCAGGAAGTGCCAAAGCGGGAGGAGTCTATTTTTAGGCGCCTAAAAAACAGAACCCTTAACCTTAAAACCCTGAAGCCTGGACTCCGTGGGAACTGCGTGTGGTTCCGAGGGAGTGCCAAAGGGTCATTGTGTGTTTCTTAGTTCATTCATCTCGGCCCTTTGGCAGTCGTGCGTCTCTTGAGTCGACTCAACCGCACCGCGTGCACCCTCCACCCTCGCTTTTTGGGAACGACGCGCAGCAGCAACCCCGCTTTTATCCTGTGATTGGGACGGGAGCCGAGATGGGGAGAGCACGGAAGGCTCGGAAATATGCGGAGGTGAAACGGCTGATCAGCCCCAAGGAGATAAAGCAGTGAGTTACATTGTTACAACAGGCAGAAGCTTGGTTGTCGACAGTTTTTTCCTACTTGTTTGAACCTTCACCTTAGCTCTGCTGCTCTCTGGTAACTATGGCCCAAAACGGCTGATTAATCCCAATGGGATACGATGTGGGAATGAGTTACACCGTTACAAGAAGCTGGTCGTTTCATGGCCCAGTCCTCATGCAGTCTTCTGGCGGAGAGCAGCACTCCCTCTTCCTTCCCCTCCACTCGCTGCTCGCACCGTGTCGACTTTTTTTGTGCCAAGCTGTGTTGAAACTTGAGGCGCCTCTTGTGCGTGTGGCGTGTGTGTGGCATCCACGTGGCGTGTGCGTGGCGTGCGTGTGGCATCCACGTGGCGTGTGCGTGGCGTGTGTGGGGCATCCATGTGGCGTGCGTGTGGCATCCACGTGGCGTGCGTGTGGCATCCACGTGGCGTGCGTGTGGCATCCACATGGCATGCCTGTGCTGCTGAGCAGGTACCGCAAGGATGTGCTGGACCCCAAGAAAGCAGACTCCGAGAAGGAGAAACTTCCTCGAAATGTGTGAGTGCTGCTGATGGGGGTATGGTGTCTCACCTCAAGACGAGGGTTTGGGCGGCGGGGCTTGTCATGTCATGTCAATATCTATTCTTGACGCACCTCAAGACCGGGGTTGGGGGGTAGTGGAGCTTGTCAATATTGATCTGCCATGCGTCTGATGAGCACCCAAAGCCCCAGCAGCACCTGAGATGTATCTCATAAACCAGAAACCTTTGACCACAAAACCCCGACCCTTGTGGCCTTTGATGTGGCGCCATTGCGCCTCGTTCCCCACCTTGCTCCATCCATCTCTCTCCATCTCTCTCCATCTCTCTCTCTCGCTCTCTCTCGCTCTCTTTCGCAGCATACATGTGCACACATCCTCCCAATCTCTCTGCCCCTCTCACCCCCTCCTCCACTCCCCCGCTTCCTTCTTCTGCCTCGCCCTGCGCTACTGTGTGCCCCCAACCCCCCTCCCACGTGCCGTGTACCGTGCCGCATGTATGCCGTGTGTTGTGTGGTGTGTGCCGTGTGTTGTGTGCCGTGGGCCATGTGCCGTGGGCCCCATGTGTCTTGCCCCGTATGCCCCGCGCCCCGGGCACCAGCCCCAACGTGTCGTCGGCGCTCTTCTTCAAGCACAACACGGCGCTGGGCCCGCCGTACCAGGTGCTGGTGGACACCAACTTCATCAACTTCTCCATCTCCAACAAGGTCCGCGCGCCCCCTTTGCTCTTGGTCCACCCGCCCTCCACGCCCGCCCTCCACGCCCAAGGACTTGCAGGGTTACGGGTTTGGCGTTTAGGGTTTAAGATTTACAGACTCTCCCCGTCCACACGCCCAACCCCACTTCGCCACACCATGCCACACCACTCTGCACGCCTCAGGTGCTGCTTTCGTGCCACGGCCGCAGCTGCTGTTATCGCTTCATTGGGCATGTCAACGCCGTGCACTACTTACTCATGCCTATCATCACTGCTGCTGATGCCTGCTGTTGGCTGTCACGTATTTCCAGCCCATGTGGCGTGATTCGTTGCCCAACTCCTTCCTTCCACTGTTGCCCCCCGGTTTCCCTCTCTCTTCGCCGCACTTTCCTCCCACCGTTGATGCTTCCGCCCGCCTTGTCTGCCCGCCTTGTCTGCCCGCCTTGTCTGCCCGCCTTGTCTGCCCGCCTTGTCTGCCCGCCTTGTCTGCCCGCCTTGTTTGCCCGCCTTGTCTGCCCACCTTGTCTGCCCGCCTTGTCTGCCCGCCTTGTCTGCCCGCCTTGTCTGCCCGCCTTGTCTGCCCGCTTTGTCTGCCCGCCTTGTCTGCCCGCCTTGTCTGCCCGCCTTGTCTGCCCGCCCTGTCTGCCCGCCTTGTCTGCCCGCCTTGTCTGCCCGCCTTTGTCTGCCCGCCTTGTCTGCCCGCCCTGTCTGCCCGCCTTGTCTGCCCGCCTTGTCTGCCCGCCTTGTCTGCCCGCCTTGTCTGCCCGCCTTGTCTGCCCGCCTTGTCTGCCCGCTTTGTCTGCCCGCCTTGTCTGCCCGCCTTGTCTGCCCGCCTTGTCTGCCCGCTTTGTCTGCCCGCCTTGTCTGCCTGCCTTGCCTTCCTGTGCTGCTTCCGCCGCGCCCACAAGAGCAGCTGGACCTGGAGAAGGCCATGATGGACTGCCTCTACGCCAAATGTGAGTGCACCTTTTTCGATCACAGTTCTAGGGCTGAGCGCCTGGACCTGGAGCATGTGCGTCATGCGTCGTCCACGCATCTGGTGCCTTGACCTTGATCTCTCCATGCCTCACGGGTTGCCTCTGCCCCTCTGCCTATGCCCCTCTTCTCACTATGATGTTCGTGTGTGCGTGTGTGTGTGTATGTGTGTGTGTGTGTGTGTGTGTGTGTGTGTGTGTGTGTGTGTGTGTGTGTGTGTGTGTGTGTGAGAGCCAGGCACGCCCTGCATAACGGACTGTGTGTTGGCGGAGCTTGAGAAGCTCGGCCAGATGTACCGGGTGGCCCTCAGGTGCGTGGTCCATCCCTCTAAACGCTGTCCCCCTTGCTGCTCGCCCTGCCCGCCGCACCGCCATCTCCCGCGTCTCTCCCCCTCGCTCGCCCATGGGGACCTCTCTTCCCTGAGCGCGCTGCATCTGCTTTTGAGTCGACTCAAAAGCTTCCCTCAGCGCCCTGCATCACGGACTGTGTGTTGGACTGTGTTAGGTTTTTGAGATTTCTCAAAAGCCTAACACAGACTGTGTTGGCAGAGCTCGCGAAGCGTGGCCAGATGTACCGAGTGCCAGTGGCCCTCGGATGTGTGCATGCCCAGATGAGCTGAGCTGGCCCTTGAGAATCAAAGAAAAAAAACGCCAGCCTTCCTCCCAGACACCCTCATCCCTCGCGGCTTTCTCCCTTGCTCGCCCTTGCAGGCCCCTCCTCCCTGAGAGCGCATTCGGCTTGCTGTTGTGCTCAAATATTAATAAGTGCACGGGAAATAAAGGCGGAATGGGAGTGCACAGGGGGCAGCAACGCAAGTACTAAGCAATCAGAAGCATACGTATGCGATCTAAATTGGGCCATGTGTTAAGTACTGGAAACGCACAAAAAGCATGAGGCGTCACAGGAGCAGATGTGTGAATGAAATGAAATGAAATTAATTCCTTTGGATTTTGACAGGTGAGAGTAAAGAACGGCAGCAAAGGGCTAAGTGGCATGGAATGTTGGCGCAGGAGCAGAGCTCCATAATCAAATCAACAGTTGTACCATCTCGCTGCCCCACCCTCTCTAACACCTCCCTGCCCCCCAACCCACTCTTTCTCTCTCGCCCTCTCTCTCTCTCTCTTCCCCCTCTCCCCGTGTGCATGCTCGCTCAGAATAGCCAAGTCGCCGTCGTTCCTTCGGCTGCCGTGCAGCCATGCCGGCACCTATGCAGATGACTGCCTCGTGCAGCGAGTCACTCAGGTGTGTTTCTTGTGCTCACTCAAAGCTCACATCTGTGAGTGCAGCAATTTTCTCGTCACTCATGGTAGGAAGGGCAGCAGTACGAAGTTGATATTCTTGAGCCGACTCAAAGGTCACATCTGTGAGTGCAGCTAGTCTCTTTCAAGTGAGCCGCTCAGGTGTGCAGCAGCCACTCTCAGGTGGATGTGCAGGGGGGCACTCTCAAGTGTACAATTGCTACTGTGAGCTCTTGCAATTGCTTCTGTGAGCTCTTGCAATTGCTTCTGTGAGCTCTTGCAATTGCTTCTGTGAGCTCTTGCAATTGCTTCTGTGAGCTCTTGCAATTGCTACTGTGAGCTCTTGCAATTGCTTCTGTGAGCTCTTGCAATTGCTTCTGTGAGCTCTTGCAATTGCTACTGTGAGCTCTTGCGATTGCTTCTGTGAGCTCTTGCAATTGCTTTTGTGAGCTCTTGCAATTGCTTCTGTGAGCTCTTGCAATTGCTACTGTGAGCTCTTGCGATTGCTTCTGTGAGCTCTTGCAATTGCTTCTGTGAGCTCTTGCAATTGCTTCTGTGAGCTCTTGCAATTGCTTCTGTGAGCTCTTGCAATTGCTTCTGTGAGCACTATCACCGTCCCTTCTCCCCCTGACTGCTACACCTGCACTGTCGTTTTCCCCACGTGGCATTTCAGGCTTCAGCACTCCTTGATTTGGGCCTTTCCGCTTCGCCTTTCTTCCCTGCTTCCGTTTCCTTTACGACCCAGCTTTCCACCACCTCTTTTAACCACTCTTCACGCTTCTCCCTGCTGTCTTGCCCCTTGCCCCTTGCCCCTTGCCCCTTGTTACTTGCCCCGTGCCCCCCTTGTTCCTTGCCCCTTGCCTCTTGCCCCTTGCCCCTTGCCCTTGCCCTTTGCCTCTTGCCCCTTGCCCCTTGCCTCTTGCCCCTTGCACCTTACCCCTTGCCCCTTACCCCTTGCCCCTTGCCCCTTGCCCCTTGCCTCTTGCCCCTTGCCCCTTGCCCCTTGCACCTTACCCCTTGCCCCTTACCCCTTGCCCCTTGCCCCTTGCCCCTTGCCCCTTGCCCCTTGCCCCTTGCCCCTTGCCCCTTGCCCCTTGCCCCTTGCCCCTTGCCCCTTGTCCCTTGCTCCTTGCCTCTGTCCCTGCCACGGCCAGCACAAGTGCTACATTGTGGCCACATGCGATCGTGACCTCAAGCGACGCATCCGCAAGGTGAGAGGGTCTTTTTGAGAAGGAGAGAGCGTGCAAATAAGAATGCATGCAACTGAGACTTCAAGCGACGCCCATCCACAAGGTGAGAGGCAAGCCAAGACACACAGGCTCACACACATGGGCTGGCTGGGGCAATGGATGAGTTATCAGTGTTGTTCTCAAGTGCATGCACTTAATAGTGTTGTTCTCAAGTGCATGCACTTAACAGTGTTGTCGTCAACTGCAATCAACCAAAAAAATCCGCGGGGGCAGTGGGGAGGGGATATGTTTCCAAGGTCAGAGCGAGTGTTGCCAACATCGGAGGGACGTGTGGGTTGATTCGGTTTTGCTGTCACATGCCGACCTGTGCAAGTTAGAACGCCAGGATGATATGGTCTCATCACGGTGTGCATACAATGCAACAGTGCATGCACGGGGATCCCCTTTTGGTTGACTCAAAAGCAGGCTTCTACGATGTGCATACAATGCAACAGTGCATGAGCGGGAGTCCCTGTCATTGGATTAACCTCTTCCTGGGCCCTCCGTGGGTGCATGACCCACCCCCCCTCAGGTGCCTGGTGTGCCCATCGTGTACATAACGCAGCGCAAGTACTCCATAGAACGTATGCCAGTGGCGACTTCTGAGTTGACTCAAAATTCACTTAGCATTAGCACCACCACCCCCCCGCTCCCCTTCCCCCGCCCAGGTGCCGGGCGTGCCCATCATGTACATAACACAGCGCAAGTACTCCATAGAGCGCATGCCAGAGGCCACCATTGGTGGAGGTATGTACTGCCTTGCCACCCCACCACTTTCCAACCCGTCCCATGTGAATTGGCTTTTGAGAATTCTCAACATGCCTGCTGCTCAGGCACCCATGTGCCTGCTACTAAAGCTTTGACCTAGCGACTTGCTCGTCTCCCTTCTGCCCGCAGTGGTTGATTTGGCACTCTTCCATCCATCCCTCTCTCCCCGGTGTGTGTGCAGCTCCTCGCATGTAGTCCCTCACACGTCTTGATCCCACTTCCTTGCCAACATCTCGGCACCACCACCAGCACCAACACCAGCAGCAGCTGCAGCAGCAGCAGCAGCAGCAGCACCACCACCACCAGCAACACCACCAGCACCAGCAGGAGCAGCACCAGCAGCAGCAGCAGCACCACCACCACCAGCAGGAGCAGCACCACCAGCAGCACCACCAGCAGCACCAGCAGCACCACCAGCACCACCAGCACCACCACCACCAGCACTACGACCACCACTAGCACGCTGGTGTGTCTGGCTGCACCCTTTTTCTTGAGGCGCCTGAGAACGTGTGGACCTTCTAGACTTCGTGCCACACAGCCATGGGTGGCAGGTGCCATGGTTGGCGGGTGCTGCCTCCTAGCGTTTCTCCATCCCCACGAATGTCGCCTTGCAGCAAAGGTGGCAGGCAGGCAGACCCTGTCTGTGGTGTCATGCTCAGTGTAACGAGTGACTGCCTTTGTGGGTGGTTGCGCTTGTGAGGAGGAAAACCAGCAGTCTACATGTACAGCAGTCTTGTGGAGTCTCCTTCTCATGCCTTAGTTTCGGGTAGAGGTAGATATTTTTGTTTCATGAAGGTTTCCAACGTGACGGGAATTACACATGAGTGGTATTAGAGTCACGAATATAGGTACGAATTGTCATTGCTACCTACCCATAGAGAGTGCTCGACATTTCTTGGCGTTCGTTAGTTTTGTGATAGTATCTGATAGCGAGGCCGCTGTTACCGAGTGCTCATACAATCTCCCTATTCCTCGGTATTCCCGATATAGACCTGGACGGCTCCAGCAACACAGGAGAGCGTCAGTCGCTCAACGCAGCACAGCACAACTCCATTCTGCCTTGCTCGCTGGCGCGGTGTGAATCTGTGATAGTTCGAACGGAACGGAACGGGCAAGGCAACACCTAGGGTAGGGCGACCACTGGGTACACGGGTTCTAGGAGCTCCCGAGTTCTATCAGCGAGATCACGCGCTCGAGAGACGCGCGCCGTGATTTATCGACGGCCGCCTCGATCCACAGAAGGTCGCCGTGATCCATTGACGGCCACCGTGATCCATTGACGGCCACCGTGATCCATTTGACGGCAACCGTGATCCATTGACGGTCGCGTGGCTGTTCCCTGTCCCGTCCAGCTGCTACTTTTAGGCTCCTTAGTAATAGTTACGTTTCTATACTTAGTCTTTTCGTTTTTCCAGCTGTGACTCTCGTCTTGGAATCGGCGAGTCGCCATTCTTTGTACTTGGTATATCGTCCGTCTCCGCTTGGACATTCCCTTCGTGCATTTCCTCCTCCTCCGTGGAAATTCCCTTGGTATCTCCGTCCATCTCCGTCCATCTCCGTCCATCTCCGTACATCGCGGCATCGCATGGCGGGCCGCTCGCCGCTAGGCACGGCGGGCTTGCGGGCGGATGACGTCATGATCGCTGCGAGCGACGCGGCGGTCGTGCGGGAGACGTTCAAGCGGCTGCAGCCGCACCTGAGCCACCACGCGCTCATCATGTTCCTCACGTACGTATCCGCTAAAAGGTGGCTCGTTTGCACGCATTGCGACACACACCTCACGAGGGGTGGTTCGGTTGAGAGCTCGTGCTTGCGAGGATAGAAGGCTTTAGCAAAGAGGAGATGAGGGGCGTTTGAGTCGACTCAAAAGCCATCTGCATGCGAGGATAGAACGTATTCTTCAACAGGACATGAGGGGCGTTCTTGAGAATGTAAGGTTATTTTTAGAATTGTCAAAGCCATCTGGATGCGAGGATAGAGCGCATTATACAAGAGGACAGGAGGGGCGTTCTCATCTCCTCTTGACTCTTGAGTCGACTCAAAGGTCACCTCCTTAAGAGGTGATGAGGGGCGTTCTCTCATCTCTTCTTGTCTCACACTTCCCCCTGCATATCATATCATATCACATCATATCACATCATATCATGTCGGTCTCGCTAGCTTCCCTTGGTGTCTTTTTGTCCCCCACAGCGCGCTCGACGCGTCGGGTGAGACGTGTTCCCCCGCATGTCGTGTCCCTCAGCTCTATGACTTGTGTCTTGGCTTTTTCCGTTTCACGTCTCGCATTCTCCCCCTGTGCCCATCCCCCCCCCCCCCCCCCCTCCCCAAATAAAAACACCCCCCAGCATGGTGACGGGTCGAAAGAGATGAGGGACCTCCTCGTCTCTTCATGTCTCATATTCCAGCCTGCAGGCCTTGTCTTGTCTCGCATGTCTCAGCAGCATGTTCCACGTGTCGGAGGAGATGGGGGACCTCTTCTGCACAGCACTCTGTTCCCTCTCGTGATGCTTCACGTGCCCTTATGTGCATCATGTTGATGCTCCCCTCGTGCTTTCCCTTGCTGCTCCCCTCGTGCTTTCCCTTGCTGCTCCCCTCGTGCTTTCCCTTGCTGCTCCCCTCGTGCTTTCCCTTGCTGCTCCCCTCGTGCTTTCCCTTGCTGCTCCCCTCGTTCTTTCCCTTGATGCTCCCCTCGTGCTTTCCCTTGCTGCTCCCCTCGTGCTTTCCCTTGCTGCTCCCCTCGTGCTTTCCCTTGCTGCTCCCCTCGTGCTTTCCCTTGCTGCTCCCCTCGTGCTTTCCCTTGCTGCTCCCCTCGTGCTTTCCCTTGCTGCTCCCCTCGTGCTTTCCCTTGCTGCTCCCCTCGTGCTTTCCCTTGCTGCTCCCCTCGTGCTTTCCCTTGCTGCTCCCCTCGTGCTTTCCCTTGCTGCTCCCATACCAGCATGTTCGACGTGTCCAAGGACATGAGGGGCATCTTCTGGTTCGTGCCTCACGCGTCGCACGCGTCTCACGTGTCTCACGCGTCTCACGCGACTCCCTCCATCTGCTCCCTCTTTGTCCCTCCCTCCGCCATTCCGCCCTCCCTCTCACAGCATGTTCGGCGTGCCTGAGGAGATGAGGGACCTCTTCTGGTGCAGGACACATGTGTTTCCGTTCGCGTGCTCTGTGCGCTCCCTTTTGAGTAAATTCAAACGTCCATATGCTTTTTGGATTCCCTTCTGTGCACTCCCTCGCTGTCCCTCCCCCCGCCATTCCTCCCTCTTTCTTGCAGCATGTTCGACGTGTCGGAGGAGATGAGAGACCTCTTCTGGTTCGTGAGGGACATGGACGAGCCGGCTCCCACCAACCCCGTGCTGCAGAAACACGCCAACGCCGCCTTCAAGCTGGTCAGTAGGGCATGCATTCTTTGTTGGGTTATGGCACAGGATGTACGGCACAGGTGATTGGAGGGGAGGGCGGGGGGGATCTTCTGGTTGAATTGGGACGAGTTGGCTCCCGCCAACCCCATGCTGCAGAAACACACCAACGCGGCTTGTAACACCGTGCTATCAAGCCACCATGTGTCGATTCACTGTAATGCCATGCCATGCTATCATGCCATCATTCCACCATGTATCCACGCCTCCACCCATCCCACCACATCCAATCTGTGTTTCGCCCTGCCAGCTGGACGACACTCCGCACTCCCGTGACTCATCCCAGCACCCCCTCTTACCCATCTCCATCCCCCCGTGCCCCCCTGCTTTCAATCACTCTCAGGTCCGTGGCTCGTGCTGCCAGCTGGATGACAGAGCAGTGGTGGCCGCCATGCTGTGTGACCATGGTCCCTTGCCATCAATGACTCCCCCTCTTGACTTTTGGGTCCACCCAAAAGTCGTCAATAAAAGACATCAATGACTCCCCCTCGTTACTTTTGAGTCGTCTCAAAAATGCCAGCTGGACGGCAGAGCAGCGGTGGGCGGCATGCTGTGTGACCATGTTCCTTTGCCATGTTCCTCTCATTCTGCCCTTTATACCATGCCGTCCATCCCGCCAAGTCAGATCTGTGACTCGTGCTGCCAGCTGGACGACAGAGCAGCGGTGGCCGGCATGCTGCCAGCCATGCAAGCTCTGGGCGGCAGACACATCAAGTACAACGTGCGGCGTCCACACCTGGCGGTACGCTGCACTAAATGATTTTCCTGGGTTTTGGCTGTATGCGGCGGCACCGTATGACTGTGAGATTGCCTGGGTCCTAGGAGATGGCTATATCATCTCGCCTTGTGCCATGGTTTTGATGGCATCTAGCATCCTAAGATGCCCCTTTTTGCATAAACAGCCTCATCATTTTCATCCTCCTCCCCTTCTCCCTTGTCTGTCGCTCAGGTTTTCAAATGGCATTTCTCAAGGCAGTGGCCTAGGCTCTTGCCTCGGGGCGGGCAGAGGAGATGGAGGGAGCGAGGAGCACCTCACACCAACCATCCTGTCTCTTCTTTCCCCCACTTCCCCTGCTTTCCCCCGTCCCCAGGTGCTCTGAATGGCCCTTTTTCAAGACAGTGGCCAAGGCTCTGGGGTCAAGCCGGGCAGAGGAGGTGGAGGGAGCGAGGAGCACCTCACACCAGCCGTCTCCTCACTCCCTTGCCCCATGTCACCCCACCCTCCGGTGCTCCGATTAGCCATTCTCAAAACAGTGGCGAAAGGTTTCGGCTCGGCGTTGACAGAGGAAGTGAGCGAGGAGCACATCGCAACGCCCCCGGTTGCTGTGTGTTCCCCCCCTTCCTCGCCCTTCCTCCTCCCGCCCCCCCTCTTCCTTCAGGCATTTCAAATGGCGTTTCTCAGCGGACAAGGCTCTGGGCCCAGGGTGAGAAGAGGAGGCGGAGGGCGCATGGAGCACGTCACAACACCCCTTGTTGCTGTGTATCCCTCCCCTCCCTCCACACACCCCCCCCCCCCCCCTCCTCTCCTCCTCTGCCCTCTTCCTCCAGGTGTTCCGCATGGCATTCCTCAAGACAGTGGCCAAGGCTCTGGGGTCGGGATGGACGGAGGAAGTGGAGGGCGCTTGGAGCAGGGCGTATGGGCGAGTGGAGGAGATGGTTATGGTGGGGATGGGGGTAAGATGAGGGGGAAGCTGAGGGGGGCGACGAAAAGGATGTGAGGGATGGGGGGGGAACAGCGGAGGTGGGAGGTGCATGAGGCAGGGTGTATGGACGAGTAGAGGAGATGTTTATGGCGGGGATGGGGGCGCGATGAGGGATCAGCTGAGGGGGATGTGGGAGTGATGAGGGAAAGGCTCTACGGTCTTAGGGCAGATTCCTACAAAGTGGGATCTGGCGAAGTTGGATCTACTTTCGCGCACTGCCGAACAGAACCGCACTGATTGCACATTTTCGACAAATGCCCTGCACTGTACCATGTGCGTTGGATCCAACTTCGTAGGAATCCGCCCTTAGGGTTTTTGAAAGCGTATGGGTGAAAAGAGGAGATAAGGACAAAAGACAGAAATTTGTTTGGGCTGAGTGGAAGGGCCCTATGACGGTAGTTTCTATCCAGCGAGCTGCCTGCTTCTTTCTTTGTACAGTCCTTCCTAGCGATGTTACGTGTACTAAATTTGCCTATTGAATGACAACCAGATGGGGTGTCTCATGCAAGCACTGTGTTCCCAACATATCTTGGCAATTAATGACTCATATGCTCCTCTTGCATGGCCATGTTGGCATGTACACTTGGATCACCTTGGGGATCCTACCGGCATTCCATAAGCTCCATATGGTATATGGTTGGTGTGGTGACCCTCGGGGTAGCCTGTTGCTGCAGATGCACCCAACCACCATGAAACGATGCTCTTTGCTTCCGCACTGATGGTCAGCAGCTGTGTTTTCCAACAAGTTGCAGCTGCTGCAGCTGCATCAAGAAAACCATCAATCCAACCAACCCCTGCCTAGTCCACCAATCCAAGCCCACTGCCCACTGCCCACGCAAGTGGCCCTATATGCACAAATATACAAGTATCTGTCTCACTGCACGGATCGTCTCCAGCCGTACATCATCTCAGCCGCACATCATCTCAGCCGCACATCATCTCAGCCGCACCTCATCTCCACACAGACACAGACAGCACCGGCTGGCCTTTCCACATGAGTCTAGCAGCACCCCCCACCGAAACCACATCAAACCGCGCATCCCTCGCCTCTGTCGTCGCCCTCATTGCCATCATCGTCTCACTCCCCAGCCCCACCTCCTCAAACCCTAGCCGCCCCATCCTCTCCCGCCACTGCTCCAGCCTCCAGCCTCCAGCCTCCAGCCTCCAGCCTCCAGCCTCCAGCCTCCAGCCTCCAGCCTCCAGCCTCCAGCCTCCAGCCTCCAGCCTCCAGCCTCCAGCCTCCAGCCTCCAGCCTCCAGCCTAGCCTCCAGCCTCCAGCCTCCCAGCCTCCAGCCTCCAGCCTCCAGCCTCCAGCCTCCAGCCTCCAGCCTCCAGCCTCCAGCCTCCAGCCTCCAGCCTCCAGCCTCCAGCCTCCAGCCTCCAGCCTCCAGCCTCCAGCCTCCAGCCTCCAGCCTCCAGCCTCCAGCCTCCAGCCTCCAGCCTCCAGCCTCCAGCCTCCAGCCTCCAGCCTCCAGCCCCCCTCCAGCCTCCCAGCCTCCAGCCTCCAGCCTCCAGCCTCCAGCCTCCAGCCTCCAGCCTCCAGCCTCCAGCCTCCAGCCTCCAGCCTCCAGCCTCCAGCCTCCAGCCTCCAGCCTCCAGCCTCCAGCCTCCAGCCTCCAGCCTCCAGCCTCCAGCCTCCAGCCTCCAGCCTCCAGCCTCCAGCCTCCAGCCTCCAGCCTCCAGCCTCCAGCCTCCAGCCTCCAGCCTCCAGCCTCCAGCCTCCAGCCTCCAGCCTCCAGCCTCCAGCCTCCAGCCTCCAGCCTCCAGCCTCCAGCCTCCAGCCTCCAGCCTCCAGCCTCCAGCCTCCAGCCTCCAGCCTCCAGCCTCCAGCCTCCAGCCTCCAGCCTCCAGCCTCCAGCCTCCAGCCTCCAGCCTCCAGCCTCCAGCCTCCAGCCTCCAGCCTCCAGCCCCCCCCTCCAGCCTCCAGCCTCCAGCCTCCAGCCTCCAGCCTCCAGCCTCCAGCCTCCAGCCTCCAGCCTCCTCCAGCCTCCAGCCTCCAGCCTCCAGCCTCCAGCCTCCAGCCTCCAGCCTCCAGCCTCCAGCCTCCAGCCTCCAGCCTCCAGCCTCCAGCCTCCAGCCTCCAGCCTCCAGCCTCCAGCCTCCAGCCTCCAGCCTCCAGCCTCCAGCCTCCAGCCTCCAGCCTCCAGCCTCCAGCCTCCAGCCTCTCAGCACGCATCATTACCTCCATGCCCCCATCACCTCCAGGCGGACACAGACAGCACCGGCTGCCTTTTCCACATGAGTCTAGCAGCACCCCCCACCGAAACCACTTCAAACCGCCCATCCCTCGCCTCCGTTGCTGCCTTCATTGCTCCCATCGCCTCACTCCCCAGCCCCACCTCCTCAAACCCTAACCTGTTCATTCTCTCCTGCCACTGCTCCAGCCTCTCGGCGCGTATCAGCCGTTGGATCCCCTCGCATCCGACGCAGTTGATGAGCTCGCGGAAGAGCACCCCCTCCCAGATGAAACGGATGGGCGAGATGGTGGCATCGGGCATGGTGGCATCGACGGCTGAGATGTAAGCGTGCATGGTGCGGAAGGTCTCGCGGAAGCGAGCGAGGAAGAAGGGGCCGTTGAGAGCCGCGTCCACCTCAGCTAGGAAGACAAGGCGGGGCTTGAGGGCTTGGATCCACTGAAGGTGGGAGGGACGGTGGGGGGAGGGAGGGGATGACAAAAGGAGGGAAGGTTGAGCGAGGAAGAAGGGGCCGTTGAGCGCCGCGGCCACCTCGGCTAGGAAGACAAGGCGGGGCTTGAGGGCTTGGATCCACTGAAGGTGGGAGGGACGGTGGGGGGAGGGAGGGGATGACAAAAGGAGGGAAGGTTGAGCGAGGAAGAAGGGGCCGTTGAGCGCCGCGTCCACCTCGGCTAGGAAGACAAGGCGGGGCTTGAGGGCTTGGATCCACTGGCGATGTTTGGAAGGAAGGAAAGAGTAGGGAGGAGAAGAGAAGAGCTGGAAGTGCAGAGTGCATGAATCGAAGCTGCTGAAGGGAAGGAAGGAAGTGAATGAGTGTACGGGAAAGGGAGGGAAGAAAGGGGCCCGACTAAAACCGAGGCAAGAATGCAAAAGGAAACGAGAAAGAGTGGCAGTCGTGGGGCTGTGTCAGACGTGCGGAGGAAGGAGCATGGCTATGGGCAGGGGGGTGTGGTGCAACGGGAGCGAGATTGAGTGGCATAGGTTGTTGTGAAGATGGGGATGCGGGACGTGTGGATGGGTGTGGGTGTGGCTGGGCATGCGAGAGACAAGGCCATGCATGAGAGTGTGGTGGAATTGGCGACAGCTCAAGCCGCGGCATGATTTTTGAGGCGCCTAAAAAATTGACAGCTCAAGCCGCAACATGATTTTTGAGGCGCCTAAAAATTGACAGCTCAAGCCGCAGCATGATTTTTGAGGCGCCTAAAAAATTGACAGCTCAAGCCGCGGCATGATTTTTGAGGCGCCTCAAAAATTGACAGCTCAAGCCGCGGCATGATTTTTTAGGCGCCTCAAAAATCGACAGCTCAAGCCGCCGCATGATTTTTGAGGCGCCTAAAAAATCGACAGCTCAAGCCGCGGCATGATTTTTGAGGCGCCTAAAAAATTGACAGCTCAAGCTACGGCATGATTTTTTAGGCGCCTAAAAAATCGGCAGCTCAAGCCGCGGCATGAATTTTGAGGCGCCTAAAAAATTGACAGCTCAAGCCGCGGCATGATTTTTTAGGCGCCTAAAAAATTGACAGCTCAAGCCGCGGCATGATTTTTGAGGCGCCTCAAAAATCGACAGCTCAAGCCACGGCATGATTTTTGTGGCATGTGCAGCTATCGTGGCATGTGCAGCTATCGGCGATTCGTCTCGTAGCGTCATGGTTCGTGAAGATTGCGGCTCCAAGGAAAGGCGCGAAAGTAGAAGCTGGCGACGGGGAGAGATCGGGCTTGCTTTCTACGTGCTGGCTCTTTCCTCGTCGTCGGATTCATGCTTTCACACCTTCCCCGTAACCCGCAACCTTCACTCGCCTGCACTTCATGAGACAAATCTCCAATAGCTGCACTGCACCTGTCATGATTTGATTCGATTGCCGCCAATTTCACCGCACTCTCATCCATGGCCTCTCATGTCTCGCCCAGCCACATCCACCCAGAAGTTTCGCATCTCCAACTTTTCAGCAATCTCTGCCACTCCTTGTTCTCCAGCGCCACACCACCTGCCCACTACCGCACTCCTGTCTCCGCACAATTGACACCACTCCGCGACTGCTAATGGGGAAGGGAGGGTAGAAAGGAGGGCGACGCTAGAGCAAATTGATCAGGAGCCATCGTAGGCAAGAGGAGGGAGGTCAGTACTAGGGAGCTCGCTGGCAATCTGATAATACCCCCACCACATGCCCTTGAGCACGGCATATCACATTGAGCAACATATGTCTGGTTGGGAACGCCGTCCACTTACATCTCTCCTTTAGCCTTATCCTGCCTCACCTGAACCATGACATCGAATGTGCCTTGCTCACCAAGACATAACCAAGGCAGTGTGCTTTATCCTGCCTCGCATTGAGCACGGCCACCCTTAGGTTGTGCCATGTACACATTTCAGTTTCTCTCTTCAGGCGCAACACACTCGACCATCCTCTCACCTTGAGCACCGCGCCCCTTAAGTTGTGCCTTAGCAACGAGGGGGCACACCACCACCCCCAGCGATTCCACTTCCAATCTCACCTGTAGCCCATCACCACCTTGCCTTGAGCATGGCATCTCACCTTGAGCATGGCATCTCACCTTGAGCATGGCAGCTCACACCTTGAGCACCGTATCCCTGGGGTTGTGCCTTGGCATGGAGTCATCCGGGAAGAGCATGAGGGTCCAAAACGAGCACACCACCACCTCCTCCCCTTGCTGCACTTTTACCACGGACGGATGGAGGGACTCCATCGGTACAAGCAAACTTACCTTAACCACCTTCAGCACCTTAAATTAAGCGCACCTTGAGAACAGCGTCTCTGGGGTTGTGCCGTAGCACGGAATCGTCTGGGAAGAGCATGAGGGTCCAGAACGAGCACACTACCACCTCCTCCCCTGCCTGCACCTTTACCATGGACGGATGAAGGGACTCCAGGGGCACATCAATGATCTCAAACGTCACGGGCAGCCCGAAACTGTTTGCAAGCTGCCCAAAGAACTGCTGGCTGAAGGCAGTGGCGTTGAGAGAAGATTCTAGCTGCACTGTGCCGGCGTTAATGCCGGTTATGCGGATTGAGACTGGCAGGTGCAGCGGGTGCATCGGCGGCTGCTTCTGATCCTGCTGCTGCTGCTGCTGCTGCTGCTGCTGCTGCTGCTGCTGCTGCTGCTGCTGCTGCTGCTGCTGCTGCTGCTGCTGCTGCTGCTGCTGTCGTGCTGTGCTGCCCTTCGCTGCAGCTTCCCTATCCGTCTCTTCAGACCCCCTATCCGATGTCGCATGCGTCACTGCACGAGCAGCAGCAGTCACAGCGGCAGCAGCCTCCCAAGGACCACACCTGCATATACCTCGCCCCTCCTCTCTGCTACTGCCACTACCACTGCCACTGCCACTGCTGCTGTTGCTGCTCACAGTGCTCCTCTGTCTTTCCCGACACGCAGTGCAGGTGCCCCTGCTGCCACTGTTGCTGCTGCTGCCAGGCTCACCAGGTTTGCTGCTGGCAGCAGGGGTGGAAGTAGTAGAGGGAGCAGCATCAGCAGCAGCAGCAGCAGCAGCAGCAGCAGCAGCAGCGGCAGCAGCAGCAGCAGCAGCATCAGCAGCAGCAGCGGCAGCAGCAGCAGCATCAGCAGGGAAGCCGCAGGCAGAAGCAATACGGCAGAGGAGAGAGGCCCACTGAGGCGCGCCGATGATGCCAAACGCTATCAGGTGAATGCGGCGCGTGGGCGGGGCAGGGCGAGAGCAGGAGGGGATTGAGGGAGGGGAAGAGGCAGAGGGGAAAGAAGAGGGGTGTAAAGGCGGCAGTGCTTGGGGTTCGGGTGCGGATACACCTGCTGCTGCTGCTGCCGCTGGTGTTGCTGGTGCTGCTGCTGCTGCTGCTGCTGGTGGCATTTCTGTGGCAGAGCTACCCAGAGCTCGTGGCACTTCAGTGATGAGAGCAGCAAAGGCAAAGTTGATCCACACAACATTGGTCTCGTGCGAGTGGCCCACTACTGCCATCACATCTGCCACAGACTGTGGAAGCAAGAGATGTGAAAGTGAGAGACAAAGGGGAGGGAACGGTAGGGGTGGTGTAATTAGGGGATTCAAGAGTTCATCTACATAACGTTAGACTCGTGGGAATGGCCCACTGCTGCCGTCACAGCTGATGCGCTCTGTGCGCAAGGGCCAGGGAAGACGGGGAGAGAGATGAGAGAGCAGCAGATGCGAAGTGGGTCCGTGCACTGTTGGTCTCATGGGCGTGGCCCACTGCTGCCATCACATCTGCTGCGGACTGCACAAGTAAGAGAGTGAACGAGAGACGAAATGCCAGCACCAAATGCCCACATTTTAACACACCACATGTCCACATGTCAACACACCACATGCCCACATGTCAACACACCACATGCCCACAAGTCAACACACCACATGCCCACATGTCAACACACGACATGCCCATATGTCAACACACGACATGCCCATATGTCAACACACCACGTGCCCACATGTCAACACACCACATGCCCACATGTCAACACACCACATGCCCACATGTCAACACATCACATGCGCACATGTCAACACACCATACCCACATGTCAACACACCACATGCCCACATGTTAACACACATGCCCACATGTCAACACACCACATGCCCACATGTCAACACACCACGTGCTTACATGTCAACACACCACATGCCCACATGTCAACACACCACATGCCCACATGTCAACAACCCACATGCACACATGCAAACACACCACATGCCCACATGTCAACACACCACATGCCCACAAGTCAACACACCACATGCCCACGTGTCAACACACCACATGCCCACGTGTCAACACACCACATGCCCACATGTCAACACACCAGGTGCCCACATGCAACCACACCACACGCACACATGCAAACACACCACATGCACACATGCAAACACACCACATGCCCACATGCCAACACACAACATGCCTACATGACAACACACCACATGCCCACATGTCAGCACACCACATGCCCACAAGTCAACACACCACGTGCCCACATGTCAACACACCATACCCACATGTCAACACACCACATGCCCACATCTCAACACACATGCCCACATGTCAACACACCACATGCCCACATCGCAACGCACCACATGCCCGCATGTCAACACACCACATCCGCACATGTCAACACACCACATGCCCACATGTCAACACACCACATGCCCGCATGTCAACACACCACATGCCCACATGTCAACACACCACACGCCCGCATGTCAACACACCACATCCGCACATGTCAACACACCACATGCCCACATGTTAACACACCACATGCCCGCATGTCAACACACCACATGCCCACATGTCAACACACCACATGCCCACATGTCAACACACGACATGCCCACATGTTAACACACCACATGCACACATGCAAACACACCACATGCACACATGCCAACACACCACATGCCCACATGCCAGCACACAACATGCCCACATGACAACACACCACATACCCACATGTCAACACACCCATGCCCACATGACAACACACCACATGCCCACAAGTCAACACACGACGTGCCCACATATAAACACACGACATGCCCACATGTCAACACACCACATGCCCACACGTCAACACACCACATGCCCACATGTCAACACACCACATGCCCACATGTCAACACACCACATGCCCACATGTCAACACACCACATGCCCACATGTCAACACACCACATGCCCACGTGTCAACACACCACATGCCCACGTGTCAACACACCACATGCCCACATGCCAACACACAACATGCCCACATCACAACACACCACATACCCACATGTCAACACACCCATGCCCACATGTAAACACACCACATGCCCACATGTCAACACACCACATGCCCACATGTCAACACACCACGTGGCCACATGTCAACACACCACATGCCCACATGTCAACACACCACATGCCCACATGACAACACACCACATGCCCACATGTCAACACACCACGTGCTTACATGTCAACACACCACATGCCCACATGTCAACACACCACATGCCCACATGTCAACAACCCACATGCACACATGCAAACACACCACATGCCCACATGCCAACACACAACATGCCCACTCGACAACATACCACATGCCCACATGTCAACACATCACATACCCACATGTCAACACACCCATGCCCACATGTCAACACACCACATGCCCACATGTCAACACACCACATGCCCACAAGTCAACACACCACATGCCCACATGTCAACACACCACATGCCCACAAGTCAATACACCACATGCCCACATGTCAACACACCACATGCCCACATGTCAACACACCACATGCCCACATGTCAACACACCACATGCCCACATGTCAACACACCACATGCCCACGTGTCAACACACCACATGCCCACGTGTCAACACACCACATGCCCACGTGTCAACACACCACATGCCAACCTCACCTTGACTTGAAACTCTATTGGCGTCCTTCACTTGATGGCAGCAGTTCCATTCGCCCTGGCCTCCAGCGCCTGCAGCATGAACCACGCCACACTCGTCCTATGAGCCCCCACCGACTCACATGCTACCAGCCTACTCGCACTCTCAAGGCACTCACACTACGTCTCACCTTCACTTTGAACTCAATGGGTTTTCTCCACTTGACAGCAGCAGTGCCATCCGCCCGGGCCTCCAGCGCCTGCAGCATGAACCACGCCACTCGCTGCATCGCATCCCCCGCCGCACTCGCCTCGCCCCGCACCTTCTTCCCCCACCGCCGCACCAACCCCCAGTCCCCCACTGCGTGCGCCTCTGCTAGTGCTAATACCTGCTGCTGCAGCCGCTGCTCCCTCTCCTCCTCCTTGCTCGCTTGCCTGGGGACGCCCACGCGGCGGAAGGACGAGTCTGCAAAGAGGGAGAAGTCGAACTGAAGGTGTGGGCGCAGGTGGAGGGGGGAGGTGGGGGGGAGCACCTGAGTTGCCTCGGAACAGGGTAGGGGGTAAGTGAGGGGCGTGGGGAGGATGGAAGCAGGTGTGTGTGTTGTCTGCTGTGCTGCTTTCTGTCCTGCTTGCTGGGCTGCTAGCTGTGGGTGGGAGAGGTGGGCGGACGGGCAGGAGAGGGCGAGACCAGGGGCAGGCTGGTGAAGCTGGGGTGCTGAGGCGAGAGCTGATGCGCCTGGCATTGAGAGGCGAACCTGCTGGTCCAGCTGGTGCTGCTGCTGCTGTGAGCCAGGAACTTGCTGCTGGTAGAGCAATGAGCGGGAACCACACTGCTGCTGTCGCTCTCTTTCCTGCGGTGGTGACTGCTTCATCAGCCCAAACTCCCTGTACTGCTGCTGCTGCTGCCCCAGCTGTTGCTGCCATTGCTGCTGTCCCTGCTGGGTTTGCTGCTGCTGCTGCTGTTGCTGCTGCCTCTGTTGTTCCTCCATCCTCCCATGCAGCGCCTTCAACCGCTCAAGGCCAGACGACAGGCTCTGAAGCACGCGCACCATCTCCACCTCTGCTGCTCCCGCGCCTAGAGCGTCGTCGTATCCTGCCCCCTGCTCAACTTGATGCCCTGCTGCTGGAAACGCCCCCGCACCCAGAGCCTGGAAACCCGCCCCCTGCTCAACTTGATGCCCTGCTGCTGGAAACGCCCCCGCACCCAGAGCCTGGAAACCCGCCCCCTGCTCAACTTGATGCCCTGCTGCTGGAAGCGCTCCCCCTAAAGCTGGCAACCCTCCCTCCGAAGCTGGTAACCTTCCCCGTGAAGACGGTAACCTGCCCCCCTCTATCACCCTCTGCGCTCTCCCCCTCTCTTTCCCTTCCCCCGCCCTCCCACCAGGGCCTATGTCTGTTTCTTGCAGCATGGTACCCTGAGTAGACCCAACACCAGCACCCCCGATATCACGTGCCAGAATTCCCATACATTCCGAACCTGAGCCGCCACTTTCCGGGCCTGACACCAAGCCTCTACCCGGGCCTGTTTGCGAGGCTCGATTGTTTGGCACTGGACGAGCCGCATGGTGAGGCTTGGAAGAAATTCCTCGGATTAACGAGGCAAGGCGAGTGGTCAGGTCCCCCCTGCGAATCTTCCCAGGAGGTGATGTGTCACTGGAAGGTTTTCCGATTCTGGATAAGATCTTCCCAGGGGGTGACGTGTCACTGGGAAACTTGTCAGCTGTAGGGGGAATTACGTCAGGTTCTCGTGTACTGCGAGGAGCGGTTTCATAAGCTGGTCCTGATGCGGATGGCTGAAGGTCCATTGGGAATGACGACAGGAGAGGAGGGGGGAAATCATGAGCTATTGGGGATGGTGAGGACGTGTCAATCAGGGTGTCCATATCAGATGGTGACGTGTCAAGAATGGCATCAAGATCGCATGCATAAAGGGGAGAGTCAGCTGACGAGCCAGGAGGATTCACCAATGGAATTTCCACGTCACCTATCATCATCACACCTAAGGATGCCATGTCAGATGGTACGCTTCTGACGTCACCAGGTGGCTGACCTGCTCCGCTAAAGGATCGCGCTGCGATAAGAGAAACTGGCCTATAATAAGCTGAATCGGTGTTGTGCATGTCGGAGCCTTCCATTCCGTCGCGGCCGCTAGAACCTATTGCAGAAACCGCTGTACCGTAACCTAATTTGTCAGCGCGATTTCGGCTCGAATTTCCGACGAAACGACGCTGTTGCTGAACCCCGGTAAAATCCATTCTCCCACCATCTTTGGACCCTAAATCAGATTGAGCCGACCACCAGCGAAAAACTATGCTAGTGGTGTTCCACTCAATTTACACCCAAACGGTCATGCACCGCGGCGACAAGAGGAGAGACGAGCCGGGGGACTCCAAGAAACCTTTCTGCTCCCTTCCGCACTGCTGCTTGAAGTAGACTGCTTCAACGATCGTTGATTTCTCTCGCCCGATGCTCGGCCTACGTTCATAGCGATTCGTCCGTGTGCTAGTCCTAAGAATTTCGCCATCGGTGTTGCCACCCCCGGTGTTGCTTCCATCGACATTGCCAACATCATCGGCACTGCCGCCATCAGTACATCAGGGTACTACGAGGTTCGGTATCTCTGCCATCAGTATTGCGAGGGTTGGGGTTGCTGCCGTTGGTAGTGCCATCAGCGTCGATGCTGCCGTGCAGTCCGCTAGAGAGTACAGTTTGATGAACTGGGCTGGGAACAAACAGACAGGTCGGCACGTGACGGCCGCCAAGGCAGCCGTTTTGTTTTGGACGGTTTGTCTTTTCTTCTTGGCGAAATGTGGAGACGCACGCTTTGGTCGTGAATCCACCAGCCGAAACGGCTCCGAAGGCAGATTCGTGAAATGTTTGACACGGAATTTCAGGTAAAACGTATTGATTCCCAATCTCAAATCGTTCTGTAGCGCGTATGAGCCTCAAGCTGCACACGATTTTGCGAATGCCCCGAACCCCTTCCCGATTCGCGAGTGCATAGTCGTTGCGAATTTAGGCTTCACATGGTATCCAGCAACAGGCGATACTTCGCCCAGCACTTTCCCTCCTCTCTCACCTCAACTATGTTCGCAAAACTGCAGCAAAACCAAGCCAAGGATTCCCTTCTGCTTGAGAGCAACCTTCTCAGCCTTGTCACAGCACCACAATTTGTTGCTAGCTTTGATCAGTGATTGCTCTGTTCAGGCGGCAACTCGGCTGTAAGTGCTCGGGCAGCGGTGATTTTCGACTCGCACTTTCTTGTTCTCTGTCCGATTCCCTTTCCCTAGTCGCGAGAACATCAGCGTAGCTATCTTCCACAGATGTGGGCCGTAGATTTGCTCGTCCGCATCACTGTAGCCACATTCCTCGCATCTGAACCGTAGACTCGTAGATTCCTGATCATATTGCCGAAGCGATGCCGCATCACGTTCTAATCAATGGCGTGTATGGCTGTTAGAAGCGTGCGAGAAAGCAGCAGAAGAGGATCGGAGGAAGGTGCACGCCGTGCCTTGTAGCGTAGACGGGAGAAAGCAGGTCGTCCATGCTTCTTCCTGTCGAGTCTACGCAGGCCCCCGGTCGTCCGGGATGGACAATGCCGAACCAACCGCCGCTGGGTTCGCGAATTGCTTGGAAGAACCTAGATTTGCAATGGGTACCGGGATTGTATGGAGAAAAGGGCGTACGCCGGATACACATCCGCGTGCGCAGGGGAGACAACGCGTTAGGGGGAGACAATGCACCAGCGGGAGACAGAGCGGGAGACGACCCGTGAGCTGGAGACAACGCGTGAAAGCGAGACAACGCGTGAAAGCGAGACAACATACAAGGCCATGGGGACAACTACAAGGTCACAGGGGACCGCTCATCTGTAGCCTCCTCCTCGCCCTCGCCCTGGCAGTGAGTCCCATGGGGTACTTGGTGCATGGGACGGACAGAAAGGAGTCCCATGCGAGACAGCGCACAAGGAGGCTTCCTCTCCCCTCCCCTCCCCTCCCCTCCCCTCCCCTCCCCTTCCCTCCCTTCCCCCCCCCGCTCCCTCCCTCTCCCGCTCCCTTCCTCCCCGCTTCCTCCCTACCCCAGCTCCCTTCAGCTTCCCTCGTCTCCCCCTCCCCTCTCTCTCCTCTCCCCCCTTTCGTCGACGTCTCTTTCTCGGAATCCCTCTCTGGCTCCTAGGCGCACTCCGCTCTTAATCACTCAAAGCCTTCTCCCTCCCCCCCCCCGCCCTCTCCCTCCCCCCCCGTTCTGTTCTGCCCTGTTCCCCTCCACCCGCCCTTGCACCAGCTCCCTTCAGCTTCTGTCTCCCTTCCTCCACGTTTCTGTCTCCGACTCTCTATGCGTCTCATGGGCTGCCTCCTACTCCGCTTTCAAGGACTTCCACTCCCTTCTGTTCTACCCCGTTCGCCCTCACCCTCCCTTCCCTCAGCTCCCTTCGCCTCCCCTCGCATCCTCCTCCCATCTCTCCCCTCTATCCCCCTTCCTCGACGTTTCTTTCTCCGACTCCCTCTGCGGCTCTTGGGCTGTGTCCTACACCGCTCTGCACTCCCGCATTCGCCAAGCCGCTCGGTCTAACGCCCAGGCGCTCGCGCAAATGGCTGCTGCCGCGCATGCTGCAGCTAATGCTGCCGCTGCGGAGGCAGAAGCAGCAAGGGCAGCAGCAGCAGCAGCAGCAGCAGCATCTGCTCCTGCACCAGCAGCCACCGTACCAGCATCAGCACTAGCAGCAGCACCAGCAGCAGCGGAAACAGCACCAACAGCAGTGGCAGCAGCACCATCCCCAATTACTCCTTCCCTCTCACCTCCCCGTCCCCCTGCCCCTCCTCCCCCTATCCCATACCCCAACCCTCCCCTCGACCCCTCCATCCGCTTCCTCACCTACGAATGGCCCGACGAGGCAGGCGGCCTGGGGGACTTCCTCACAGGTCCGGCCACCGCCTTTGTTTCCTCGATTCTTTAGGCGCCTCTTAAACTTCCTCACAGGTCCGGCCACTGCCTTAGCTAACTCAACTACGAGTGCCTTTGAGTTTCGAGTTGAGTTGAGACATCTAAAAGAAGGCGGGCTGGGGGACTTCCTCACAGGTCTAGCCACTGCCTCGGTTTGTGCAGTGCTCCCTTGCTGTTCCTTTTTTCAAACAGTTCAGGCATGCGTGCCTATTTTCTATTTATTTCTTCTTAATTCACAGGGCTAGCCACCGCCTTTGCATGCGCGCTGCTCTCTAGTCGAGCCTTCGTCATCCAGCACCCGTACCTCCCGCTGGCCTTCGCACCGAACCTAGTCGATTGGTCGTTCTCCCCGGACGTACCTGTGGAGCCGGCTCGGAAGCTAGCTCTGGAGGATGGGAAGCTGGGAGGGGGAGGGGGAGGGGGAGGGGGGGTGGGGGAGGAGGGGAGGGGAGGAGGGGAGGTGGAGGTGCGAGAGGGGGAGGTGGTGGCGGTGGATTTCAGAAACCGGTTTGTGGAGCCGGAGGAGGTGTTTGCGATCATGGATAAGGCCCTCAATGTGAGGGTGACGTGGAATAGAGGCCTGCTGACGTATCTACTCGTGCAGGTCCGTAGTGCCTACTGGTTCCTTCCTCGTCTCTTTCCTTCCTTCCTTCCATCTCTTCTCCACTTCTCTACTCCCCCTCGTCACCAACTCTCCTTCTACCACTTCCAGCCCTTCCCCACTTTCTTAACCCACCTTTTCCCTGTCCCCCCCCTCCCCCACTGTCTGCTGCATCTGCTACATCTGCTGTAGAATGTGGGTTACGAGTAGGGCAACAATTTATGGGACATGACAAGTAAACTCTATCGGTAGCTTGGCTGCTCTCCCCCCTTCAACCCCTCTCGTCCTTCCTTCATGCGGTCCAACCCCTGCTGCAGGCAGTGGAGAAGAGGTGGGCCGACAGGCTAAGGGAGATGGGCATGCGCCCCCTTTGATTACCTTAGGTGTGGTCTTCCCTCTCTCTGCTCCTCCCTGTGCTGCTGCCCCTGCTGCAGGCAGTGGAGAAGAGGTGGGCCGATAGGCTGAAGGACATGGGCATGCGCCCTCCCTTTGCCTTCGGCTGCATCCTGCGCTTCCTGCTCAAGTGCGTTCGGGGTACAAGGTTCAGGGTTCAGGGTACAGAGTTCAGGGTTTGAGCCTAAGGGACATGGGCATGCGCCCTCCCTTCGCCTTCGGCTGCGTCATGCGCTTCCTGCTCTCAAGTGCGCTCGGGGTTCAGGGTTCAAGGTAGGCCGACAGGCTAGGCGACACGGGCATGCGCCCTCCCTTTGCTTTTGGCTGCATCTCGCGCTTCCTGCTCAAGTGTGTTCGGCATTCAGGGCAAGGGGTTCAGTGTTCAGGGTTCAAGATAGGCCGACAGGCTAAGGGACATGGGCATGCGCCCTCCCTTTGCCTTCGGCTGCGTCCTGCACTTCCTGCTCAAATGCGTTTGGGGTACAGGGTTCAGGGTACAAGGTGCAGGTTTTAGGGTTCAGGGTACAAGGTGCAGGTTTTAGGGTTCAGGGTACAATGCTTGGGGTTCAAGGTTCGGGGTCCAGGGTCCAGGGTCCAGGGTTCAGGGTTCAAGGTACAGGGTTCAGGCTTCAATTTTCAGGGTCCAGGGTTCGAGGTAGGTCCACAGGCTAAGGGACATTGTCATGCGCCCTCCCTTTGCCGTCGTCTGCATCCTGCACTTCCTGCTCAATTGCGTTTGGGGTGCAGAGTTTCAGTCGAGTGCGTCCAAGGAACAGAAAATCAGTCCTGTCAATGGTCTCTCACCCAATTCAAAAGGCACATGTAGCTGCATCCTGCGCTTGCTGCTCTAGTGTATTCACGGTTGATGGTTAGAGTCCGGGATCGGGGGTACAGCAGGGTTTGGAGTTTCGGGTACGGGGCTTGGGGTTCAGGGTTGCGAGTTGAAGCCTTGATTGAGCATGGATTCTGGGCGTTTATGTACATTTGACACTGGGGCCTTTTGTGCTCGCTCAGAATCCAGAGAAGTACTCTCAATGAACGGCTCGCCTTGTTATTATGTTCTCGATAATCCATACGTGACTCGGGGCAGATCTATTAGGATCAAGGGTTCAAGGTTTACCGCTGTCAATCCTCCAAAGGTTTTATATGCTTTCACACCACATCGCCTAGTTTTCCGCTCCAGTCTCCCCTCAACCCTGTTCTTTCTCAGGACCCCTCACTCTCCACTGGGAAATCCAGTAGGGCAGCAGCAGGCTTACTCATATGCCTTCATATGCCTTCATAAGCCTTCATATGCCTTCATGTGCCTTCATATGCCTTCATGTGCCTTCATATGCCTTCATGTGCCTTCATATGCCTTCATAAGCCTTCATATGCCTTCGTATGCCTTCGTATGCCTTCATATGCCTTCATAAGCCTTCATATGCTTTCATAAGCCTTCATAAGCCTTCATATGCCTTCATATGCCTTCATATGCCTTCATATGCCTTCATAAGCCTTCATATGCCTTCATATGCCTTCATATGCCTTCACATGCCTTCATATGCATTCATATGCCTTCATCGGCGTCTCCCAGACCCTGCCTGCTCTCTCCCTGGACCCCTCGATCCCCACTGAGAAACCGGATAGGGTAGCAGCAAGCTACCCTCATAAGCCTTCATAAGCCGTCATCGGCGTCTCCCCTCTATCTACCCTGTTCTCTCCCTGGACCCCTCGTGCAAATCACCTTTCCCCTCAAAGCTCGATTTTGAGACGTCTAAAATCTCCGTCATCAAGTCCCCCATGCTCCTCACTCACCGCATCTCCCATCACATCTTCTGGCCTCGACCACCCGTGGTATAAAAGTCGCGTTTTGAGACGTCTCAAAACACGACTCTTATATCAAACACCCCATCTCCCATTACGACTCTTACCACACACGCGCCCCATCTCCCATCACAGTCTCCCCAATACCCTGCTCTCTCCCTTGTGTGTGATTTTCCACAGAGGGACCACCCTCCGGTCGCCCCTAATCCCTGCATCTCTCCCACGCCCCTCGTGCGAAATCACCACCCCCTTTCTCGATTTGTCATATCCCCTGTGTTCCCCCCCCTCCCCTCTCCCCCACAGCAAGCCCCAGCCAGAGGCCGACTCATGCGTGCAAGCCATTTACCACCACCTCTCCCCTATTTTTGGTGACAATAATTTCACTGTCCCTTTCTCTCTCCCCTGTCTCGTCCTCTTTCTCCAGGCCCCAGCCAGAGGTCATCGCACGCGTGCAAGCCATCTACCACCACCTCCTCGCCCCTCCCCCCTCCTCCCCTCCTCCCCCCCACCACTACACTCCCCTCCCCCACCACCCAACCCACCCCCTCTCCTCCTTTGGCCCCCATAACCGCGGGGTGGTGGTGGTGGGGGTGCACATACGGGCCGGGGATATGATGGTGTGGGAAGGGGAGTTTGGTTTTGGAGATCCCAAGGCGCTGAATGCGAGTCAGATGGAAGTGCTGCTGACGTGGGCTGAGGAATACATAGCGTGTGCTAAGGTGGGTGGGTGCAACGGAATACATCAGATGTGCTAAGGCACATGGCAGAACAGCATATGGGTGTGGGGTTTTGAACAAGGAGTGGAGGTTTGGCGATCCCATGGCGCTGAATGCGAATCAGATGGAAGTGCTGCTCACGTCGGCGGAGGAATGCATTTGAGTGCATTTGGAAGTGCTGAGGTGGGTGTATGTGTGCACGCAATCTTGGTAGGGTGCATGCATCAGTGCGTACGTTTAAGGCTGGTGGTAGGGTGCATGCCTGAGTGCATGCGTGTAAGGCTCGCGGTGGGGGCGCATATAAGGGTCAGGGATTCGATGGTGTGGGAGGGGGAGCGGGGGTTTGGAAACTAATCTCCCGCTCGCCTGTGTGGCACCCTTCTTGTGTGCATTCAGGCGTTGGTCTCGTGGTGATTGTGAAATTTGAGTCGACTCAAGAGTGTTTGATTGCCTTTGTGGTGCCTCCTTGTGTACATTCAGGCGTCAGTGTCGGGGTGAGTGTCCTCCCCTCCAGTCATCATTCACTGGCTTGTCATCGCCCACCCCTTGCCTATCAACACACATGCACCTGTATCTCTACACCTCTCTCTATGCGTGTGCCTCTTCCTGTCTGCCATTGAGTCGACTCAAACGACGATAGGCAGACACATATCAACTCTCCCCATACGTGTGCCCTTTCTTGTCCACACAGACGTTAGAGGCTTGACGCATGCCCTCCCCTCTCTACACTGTTCACATAAATCTAATCCCCCCACCCCCCCCCTCCCCCTCTCCTCCTTCACCCCCCGCCCATGCAGGCATTGGAGTCGTGGTGGGTGCCCTTCCTGCCCTACTCTGTTCGCCGGCTCATCATCACCAATGCTCTGCCGCTCAAGTCACAGAAGGGAAACGAGCACACGCACAACGACACGAAGTGACACCACAAGCTGCACATATCGTGTTTTCTTTGTGGTGCCGCTTCGTGTCGTTGTAGGCACTGGAGGCGTGGTAGGTGCCCTACCTGCCCTACGCCACTCGTATCTATCTCATCTGCCCCCTTCACTCCCTTCCACCCCCCCCCACTCCCCCTTCATCCATTCAGGCATTGGAGTCGTGGTGGGTGCCCTCCCCGCCCTACGCCGTTCGCTGGCTCATCGTCACCAACTCTCTGCCGCTCAAGACCGCTCTCTGGCTCAAATACCCTGACAAGGCACGGATTCTTTCTCTTTTCCTTCTGCCCTCCCCACACCCCACCACCCCACCCTCACCTCACTTCCTCGCTCATTCACTCTCTCCTTTTCTCACCCATGTCTCCTGACCCGCATGCACTTGTGCTACTCACTCACTAATGCATGTCACTCATTTGCTGCTGCCAACTTCCTTTGCGTTACAGGTTGTGGTGTCAGACATTGTTCCTCGCCATGTCAACACGTTAACATCGCCTCAAGATGCTTCATCATCACCTGATACCAACCCCGAGTCATTATCACCTAACCCTAGTTTCTCACCGTCATCGGCCTATCCTGACACCCCATCATCCAATTCGTCACCAAAGCTCACCCCGGAGGAAGGGGCATCGACGTACATTGACATTGTAACAGAATGGCTCCTCCTAGCATCGAGTGATGCGCTTATTTTGACCAAGTCGGGTTTCTCCCACACTGCAGCGTTCTTCTCTCACCGCCTAGCCGCTGTTTACACTCCGGAAGAGTGTGATCCAGAGGAGTTTGTACCAACGCGCAGAATAGGACGAATATGGAGTGGGATATGATGTTCTGTATGACTCTCTAAGTGGTTTCGTTTGGGTTGCGGAGCAACCTACTGCTATCGTTGTCCTAGCTCGAACCAAACCATGATTTCCACTCCACACACCACATTTGTGTGTGGATTGCTCAGATATGTAATTTGTAAATTCTCATCAGCATACACTTGCCCTGGCTTGCATGGAAGCAACCGAAACAAGTGGGTACCATTTCAGTACAAACCTGAACTGAAGCATAGCTACTCGCGATCTACACTCAATCCATACATACTAATGGCCGCAAGATTTCGTACACCCCCTCTGTTCAGCAAATACCTGCACCCTCCAACATCCAGGCAGTGCAGCATCCTCAACTCAGTCAAATCCTCTGGCAGAGCCGGCAACTGCTTGCACTTATTCAACTTCAAAATTGTGAAAGCTTGCTAGCTTTGTTTGCAATGGCATCGTGCTCACTTCAACTGGTCAATTACAGCACTATACAGGTCCAAGCATGAACAAAAAAGCCTGCATCGGACCTAAGGCAAGGGAACAAGGGTGGGTTGGGTGGGAATCAGACTTGACCGTTGAAAATAAGAACGTGGGTGGAGGGAAATGAGCCTCCAGTCACGTTTTGTACTCTGAAGAGGGCGAGTAGCGCATCGCCGAGTGCCTTGGCTGTGCTACGAACCGCTTCGCTTTCACAATACACAATTTTAGAAAGTGTTACACTTTCAAAATTTTCCATATTGTGAAAGCTTGCTAGCTTTGCTTGCAATGGCATCGTGCTCACTTCATCTGGGCCACTTGAGACATGTGTCATAAAGTCACAAGTCCTAACCACTGGGACAAGAAAGGATGTCCTAAGGAGAGTTAGGCTCCATATATCCACCTACCCCATGGAAAGCCTCCCTAGTACCCTCCCTAGAGAGAGAAGAGGTTCGACAAGGCTATCCCAGTGCCACGACACACCCCCCCGCTGGGATAGCGTGCACGCTAGGAATTGAACACTGGATCGCTCTGATACCATGTCATAACGTCACCAGTCCTAACCACTGGGACAAGAAGGGATGTCCTCAAAAGAGTTAAGCTCCATATATCCACCTTCCCCAGGGAAAACCTCCCTGGTACCCTCCCTAGAGAGAGAAGAGGTTCGACAGGGCTATCCCACTGCCACGACAACATGTGCCGAACGATGCGTTGATTGCGTGCAAGCAGGGCCTCATATTGGTTTTAGGGAGGCTGATTGCTCAGGGTCGCCCATGTGAGAACCCTCTTTTTCAGGGTCGGGTTTTGGGCGTGGCTTGTTTTTCCAAGCCAAAAAAAAAAAAAAAAAAAAAAAAAAGACTAATCAGGCTTGCATTTTTGTGGTATCTGATCCTTGCTTCGGATCAGACTTTACTGCGTACAATGTATCTGCATGATTTTGGCGAAGGACTCATAGCAGATTCCTACGTCATTGCGTCAGACTAACCTTGTGTCAGACTCATCATTTTGCCCGAACCGCTGCTCATACTTTCAATCCTCGCGTTAAACTTGGGCGCACGTGCCCAGCGTCGCAAAAGTCGCAAGCGATGCCACGTGCATGCGTGTCACTCGCAAGTGCAGTTTCGCCCAAACCAGCACCTCGCAATTTGCCCGAAATGTTATTTGTGCTGTCGCAAGGGCTGCGAAAATTCGTTGTGAGTTTCTAGTTTAACGAAATTCACGCTGCAGTTCGCCGCTTTCCGTGGGTTGGTCTGTGCTTTTGGCTAAGGCCCAATCACACTCCTCACAGCTGCTCCAGCTCACGTCAAACTACCTACGTCATTTTGGCGAAGGACCTGTCACCCCCATCACACGTGCTCCAGCTCGCCTTGGACTAAATTTGCGTGATTCTGGTCAAGGACCAGTCATGCCCCTCACACCTGCTCCAGCTCGCCCTGGCAGAAAGGATTCTGTTTCAGGGCGAATTTCGACTAAGGTTGATTTGTCAGACTTGCTAAAACAGGAACATACTATTTTTCAGGGCTTAAAAAATGGGAACACATAAATTTCAGATTTTATAAGAATCAAAACCTGAAAAAAATAGGGTATGCCCTAAAAAACACCTTGATATACAGGCTTTCAGGCCTTTTTGACCTAACTTCTGAGGGCCTGCTTGCAAGGGTGCGGTCGGTGTTGTGGAGGAGTTGGGAGGCAGAGAGGAGGTGGTCGTGAGAGATGGTGATGTACATTTCCTAAGCCGTGTCGCTGCGCCAACGACCCAAATGCTTAAACAGGCGATCGGGGATCCCGACGTGTGCAGCGACTGTAGTGGCACCTTTGCGGAATGAGTGTGTTCCAAGCTGCTCGGCGGAGAGGCCTATTTTCTTGAATGCCTCGAGGCACCAGGCTCGGATGGTGGGGTAAGAGAGCGATCTGTCTCAGGGCTGCGCCTGGGTTCGGGCGAAGAATTCGTGAATGAGTGGGCCTTTGTTGTGCGGACCGTATATGCCAAGGCGGAGGAAGTGCGCCGTGCAGTGTACAGGGCAGAACGGGCCTGGTGCTGCTGCCACTGGCACCCATGCCCCGCGCCCTTCTTGATATGTATTGGATTGCGGAATGAGCAGCCACACGGCATCTTGCTCGAACTGAATTTCTTCCCACTGAATGGAGATCAAGTCAGAATAGCAAAGAAAAGCGGCATACATCAGAATAGGGATGAGGCCTTTCTGGTACCCGACCAGGTCGGTCGAGCCCAAGAACTCGCGAGCCATGTTGTGGACTTGATGGAGGGACACGTGTTCCTTGGTCTGGCTCAGGCGTGGGCAATGACGCTTGGCATACTCGCAAACTTGCAGGGTCAGGGGGCCAGTGGTGGGGCAAGATGAGCTCGTCATCTTGTGCACGAAGCTGACCGCTGAGCAGGTCAGTTGGATGGCCGACATTGTCGCATGCTGGCCGACGGCATGGACGAGGCAGAGGGCCAGGGCCATGTCCGTAGCTGGGAAGAAGGCGAGCTTAACGCGTTTGCAGAATGTGCGAAACTTGGTCCAGTATGGTTCGTAAGTCTTGATGGTGGATGCCGCACGGGATTGCGCGGCGATCAGCGTGAGCTGCCTCTAGAGACGTGGGAGCAGCTCTGTGAGGGTTCAAGGATACACATTATTCAGGCATAGGTGATGCGGAGGGCGAGGATGGGGCTGTTGGGAAGGCCTTGGCCAGAGAATGCGTGTGTGCGAGCCTGCCTGCAGGCATTGGCTGCCTCTGGCCAAGAGATGGTGAGCTGTGACCTCTGGGGCCTAGGCATGAGGGGCAGGGCGGAGGAGCGGCCACCAGCCGGCGCTTGGCCATTCTGGAATGATCAATGTGAGCCTGGATCTGCATCGCCTAGCGTGGTGAAGCATGGCGAGAATGAGGGGTGGGGGAGGAAATGCGAAGCCGAGCTCAGCTTGCCAGGTGATGAAGAAGGCGTCGGTGGTGGTGGCATGGGGATGGGGAATTGTGGAGTAGAACCGACGAAGTTTGCGTTCTGCGAGTTGGCGAACAGATCAAGCGTGTGTGGTCCCCATCGTCAATCCACTAGGTGGAACCAGGGTCGTTTTAGTGAGTAATCATCGTGGTCCTGGACCTTAGAGAGGGCGTCCGCGTGGGCGTTGAGGTTGCGCGGAATCCACTCCAGTGCCAGGCGGATATTGTGGTTGACGCGTAGATCGATTATCGTGCGGCAGGTACTGGTGAGCTCCGTTTGGCATGAGTCACCCTTGCACATGATAAAGAAGACGCCCTGGTTGTCCACTTGACAGAGGACGTGGCAGCCAACGAGTCGTATCTTGTACGTCTCGAGCGCCCACAAGACGCCCTCGATTTCCCGTTTGGGCCTGGACGTCGGAAATAGGGCCGCAGGCATCGGGGCGCTTGCTTCGGCCAGGCGGCCTGGGAAGGTAGTGAGAGTCGCGCCCCAGCTGTGAGCTCTTGCGTCGACGTGGATCACAACGTCGTAGCTGTGGTGAATGTGGAAGGGACAACCGTTGAATTTGTCAAATTGTTGGAGCCAAAACTTGAGCTCTGTAAGAGCTTCGACTGACAGGATCACCTTGGAGTTCCAAGACATCGCTGTGTGAACGGTCTGAAGGAGCTGGTGGCTGAATGCGCGGGTGACTATACCCAAGGTGAGGTTCATGGATGCGAGCATCCCGGTGACACGAGCCACTTGCTTCACAGGAAGGCGTCGACCATGTCGGCAAACTGTGAGCAGGTCGGTGATGGTTCGTAGGAGTTGGGTGCGACGCTCTTCTCCAACATGGAATCTGCCGTGTGCTGTGTCGAGCTTGAGACCCAGGAAGTGCAAGCATTGGGCGGGTGCAATTGTGATTTTTTCGCATTGATAATGAGGCCAGCATTGCACAGGTCCTTCACTACGCTGGCACACATGGTGCGGGCGACCGCTTCGGTGGGGGAGAAGAAGAGAATATCGTCAACGTAAGGGATAACCCGAAGGCCTCGAGCGAGCCAACGCTTCGCGAGCTGTTTAATGAGTTGCGTGAATACGAAAGGTGCAGTTGCCAGTCTGAATGGTAGTGAACGGAAGAAATAATACTGGCCGTCAAATTGGAAGCCGGGGAACTTCCAACACAATGGGTGGATATCCACGTGGTGGTACCCAGATTTCAGGTCCACCGAGAACATCCAATCTCCGGGTCGGGCCAGCTCGGCGACACGAGGCAGACCCTAATACTTGAACTTGGGGTTGGTAAGGTGGTTGTTGATATATCGGAGGTCGAGGATAAGTTGGCACTTCTCGTGTTGCATGGCAACGTTCAGGGGGCTGACACAAATGAGGGCGTCTGATGAGGCTGGCTTCATCGCTGCACCAGAGACGAGCAGCTCCTGGATTGCCTTGTGAGTGAATGTCGCGTGGTGATTTGCACCGGCATGGTTCGGGGCATGAGATCAAGCTGGGACGTTCGATTTCCATGGCATCTAGTAGACCCTCGAGATGATGGAGAGGATGAGGCTACTCTCACACCACGAGGCCCACCACGTGAATGCTTGTCTGAGGCAGCCGTTCATCATTGTGACTGATTTCTCAGTCACAGCAAACTTGTATGGGCCCATCCGTTCTGTCCGCCATGCCAAGTCGAGGCCTGCATATTGCATAAGGGCAGAGTTTATCCCACCATACATAATTCGTGTGATATGC